TGCAAAAAAGTGTCACCATAAAAAAGAGGTTGTTCAACAACATTAATTTAAACTCCTTCAAAGAACATTTGTTGCTAATAAATTGGGAACATTTAAACTTTAATAATAATATAAACACAATTTACAACACTTTTTTAAAAACATTTTATAAAGTCTATGATACAAATTTTCCTATGTGTGAAACAGTTGTTAAAACAAAAGACATATCATGTCCCTGGATTACAAAAGGTCTTAAAAAATCCTCGAAAATAAAACAAAAGCTATATATTAAATATTTAAAATCAAAATCAGTAAAACATAAAAATAACTATATCACCTATAAAAACTTATTTGAAAAACTTCGCAAAAATGCAAAAAAAAAATACTACTCCTACTTGATCAATAAACATAAAAATAATTCGAAACAAATCTGGAAAATAATGAAAGAAATTACAGGAAAACTTAAAACAAATACAAATTCTCTGCCACATGAAATAAAAATTGACAACAAACTAATTAACGACTCAAACTATATTGCAGCTGAATTTAACAAATTTTTTACAACAATTGGAACTAAACTAGCAAACAGTATTCCGTATACCGACGATAAATCAGCTGAATTCCAAACATCAACTTCATCAAGTTTTCACTTTACTGAGCTAACTTATGATGAATTTGAAAATGCCTTTAGTTCATTAAAAAGAAATAAAACAACTGGGTATGATGATTATAAGGGCGATAGCACCTGCTATATCATAACTGGGTATTAATGTGAATATAATAATAGACTTTTGTGATGTTATAAAACACGTTATTTTTAAAATCTTTAGAGCATCCATCAGTTAGTGCTTCCAATACCGGTAGTACCGGTACCGGAATACCGGTATTACCGGACATTTTTAAGTACCGAAATACCGGTATTGGTTTCGCTCAATACCGGTATTAAAAATATATATAGAGGGCTTATGATATAGCAGGTGCTATCGTGTTTTGCTTGAATTTGCTTCCATAAAATCGTGTCGGGTTAATTTTTAATTTCCTTTTAATATTTAAATGTTAATATTACATGTAACTTTTTTAACATTAAAAAGTTAAAAATTAAAATTTGATTTTTTTTTCTTTGATATTTATTGTTTCGTAGGGTGGCCAAACATACTAGTACGCATCCGGACAAATGCCTAGGCACGGCCCTGATCCTGGCTCAAGAAAATATTGTACTAAATTCAACTACTTAAATCTTACTCTTTAAATAGCAATTAGCGAAAAATAAATTGGAAAAAATTTCGATTGTTGAGGCGTCTAAATGTTTTGAAATACCCAAAGCATCACTATTCTATAAACTAAAAAATAAACACTGTTACTCATAGGGGCACCATATTGTTATTAGTATTAATTAAAAATCATTTACTTTTTATAAGTATAAAAGAAATACCATTTGGTGTTAATGACTTAAAACGTTTTGTTAAAATTTATCTGGACGATAGTGAAAAAAACAAGACAATAGTTTAAAGATTGTCAAAGTTTAAAAATGGTGTTTATCTTGACCGCTTTATCTTGACAGATATCCATTGTTGAAAAAAAAATGCCATATATAAAACTAATTTCCAGCTATTGAAAACCTAGAGAACGAAATAAATGCAGTAATTCCAGATATTGATGTTTAACTCAATGTTGGATAATGTTCAGCTCAATGTTGAATAATTAATAAGAAATGTTTTGATGTTTATCAAGTCATTGGGGACAATGAGCTATTTATTGAAGTTTTACATATGTCTAGAAATCATGCAGTTTTTTTGAAGATCATGGTTATGCAATAAAGAGTTTATTGCGACTCAACCTAATGACTTGTGATAATGAACTAATCCAAGTTGATTTTTATTTTTCAAGTTGAACTAGACAATGATTATATTTAAAAAATTTGTGTCTCAAAACAGAATACTTACATCAAAAACCAACAGCTTGTTGAAAATTATAATTTGTATCATCGGATATGAGGGAACTTATACCCTGGCAAAACAACTGAAATTGTTTAAGAGTTACTAACTGTGTTCAGCTTAAGTGCATCTGTCATTCATTAGTATTGTGCATTGAACACGCAGTGTCTAAATTGCCTTCAAATATTACATTTTTATTGTCAGAAATACCCCATTGATTTTGTAATACCTCATTAAGACGTGAAAATTACATCGATTTGTTTAATGTAATAAATGCTGCTACAGAATCTGAAACAGCTCGATATGCCCCTTTACCATTTGAAAAATCTTCCTTTACAAGGTGGCTTGCTCGCGGAAAAGTGATGTTTAGTATTTTAATGAATTGGGAAGAGCTTAAAGCCTGTTTTATTTGTACTGAACTATCACCTTCTAATTTTTGGTCCAGATTCAAAGCAAGACTTTTAAAAGAAATGTTGTCAGACGTTGAAATTTTTTTATTTTTTCACTTTATAACACCAGTTGTTCAGGAATTTGAAAGAATGAATAGTCTCTTTCAGCAAACAAAAGCTGATCCGAGTGAACTTTACAAACAAATTAATTTGTTTCAAAACAGCCTTTATCATAGAATTTATGATTTTAACAGCAATAAGAAAAGTATATATAAGGTTAACTTTGGTGCTAAACTTATAAAAGAATGTGACTCTTATTTACAAATTTGCAATCATAGTATTGACTCTATTAAGAAAATTAAAAATATAAAAGAAAGATGCTTGTGCGTGTTAGATGAAGCTTATACTCAAGTAACATCTAGACTACCATCATCAATGGAAACATTTAAAAATTTATCAAACTTGAATCCAGATATTATTTTAAGTAAAGAATCAAGACCTGATGTTTCTGAACTGCCGTTTTTACACCTATTAAAAGATGACTTGGGCTTAATAGAAGAACAGTATCGAAAAATTCTATTTGTAGACTGGAAAGAAGAACCATTTAAAACAGGAGTTTTCCAACTGATACTGAGCAGTTTTGGCTAGGTGTACTCCAGCACAACACTTTTAAAAACTTTGCAAACTATGCCTTAACTTGTTTGATAACACCTGTTAGCAATGCTGTTATTGAGAGGATATTCTCTCTTGCATCTGCTACAAAATCAAAAGCCAGAAATAGACTTTCACTAAATATGTTAGATGCTGTAGTAAGAATAAAATCGAAACTAGTTTTATTAGGAAAGTGCTGTCAAGATTTCACTATATCAAAAAAAATGCTGACTAATTTTAGTTCGGATTTAGTATACAAATCCGATATTGGAAACTCTTTATTTTCAGAAAATATTGATGACTTTGAAGTTGATATATAGGACGATTAACGATTATGTGTACAATTGACGGATTGTGTAATAGAAAACTTAAAAAAAAAATAGTTAATGGTTTTATTTCTCTTAATGAATATTTTTACCCCAAATTAATATAATAATGAAGCAATCTATATAGAAATAGTCATTAAATTTTTTTTATTGCCAACAACGCTTGCTCTAATTTTGTATAATTAAGTCAAACAAAATCAAAACAAAAGTTTTATTTAGTATGTTAACTTAAATAATTTGTTTAGGTTTGTTTAGGGAAAACTCTTTCTAAAACACTTTACTATATTTCTAGGGACTATTTAAGTTATATAAAAAAATCTTTTAAAATGGAACAAAAAATAATAAACTCTCAATGCAAAGTTTTCTTTCGTCTTAAATGGTAAATATGTGTTATTGTAATATGAGGCATTTTTTTAAAGGACTTTTATAAAGAGGATATATATTAAATTAAATAAAAACTTTTTTATATATTTTTTTAAAGATTTAACCTTTTTGATAAAAAAATATATAATAATAATTGTTTCTATTGAATAGTTAAGAATTTACTATTAAAGAATCCATAAAAAGAAGTTTTTATTTATTTAACTAGTTAACTGAACTTGCTTTTATATTTTATTTTCATAACTAAGGTTATGAAACGAAATATATAATATATATAACGACAGTTTTTACGGTAAGTTGACATGATTTAAATTGTCATTGGTTCAAATTTATCCGATTGTCTTATTATAGCCAATAAGATATACGTTTTCAAAATTAAACCAATGCCATCGCGGAATATTTGGCTACTTTTTGGCCATTTCTGGCTATTTAATTATATATTTCTGGCTACTGCATATCGTGAAATATCTGACAACCCTGGTTTAAATAATAAATCGTTCGCGCTTTTTAAAACAAACCTTACGGTCGTCACATGCTTAATAACGTCTTGAAAAGGTGATCTAAAGCACTTTAAAAAAAAAAAATTGAAACAATAATAAATTTGTATTATTATCTTTACTTTTATCATAGTTGTAGTTTTAAAAAGTTTGATACGAAGCATAGAAAAAACCTTTTGGCTTTTTTTCGTGACGGTCGTAACGCATTGTTTTCATAAATATATTCTTCTTATAGACCTAGTTAGAGTGCGTTTTTATAAAAAAATATTATGAATGTTTAATTTATCCTTTAATTCAAACTTAAAAGTAATAGTTATTTAAAAACACAGCACTGAAACCTTTTTCAACGCTTCACAACAGGGCTGTATATAAACGTTAAAAAATGTTTATATAACCCTTACAACTTTATAACTACGTTAAGGTATGATAAAAGGATTTTTTTGAATAATTTTTTTGTTAAAGATATTCTTAAATAGTTGAAAAATAAGTTTATTGAGGTTACTATATGTTGGCGTAAAATTCCCCCCCCCTTCTTTTACGTGACATTGCCCATATATATATATATATATATATATATATATATATATATATATATATATATATATATATATATATACATACACACACACACACACACATATATATATATATATATATATATATATATATATATATATATATATACATATATATATATATATATATATATATATATATATATATATATATACATATATATATATATATATATATATATATATATATATATATATATATATATATATATATATATATATATATATATATATATACATATATATATACATATATAAACTATAGCAAATAATATTTTAGAGAAGTATTTTCAAATAAATTATTCTAAAAGCTATAAATACAATAGATGATCAAATAAGCTCAAAATTATGAGATTTACATCTAGAAAAAATATACCATCTATATTGAGTTAACTCATGTGTAGAAAAATGCGTTTTGTTAAGGGATATTTAAAAACGGTCATATGAAAGTCACAACAATGCAAAAACCTTTGTCAAGCAATTTAAATAAGTTCAGAGTAGAATTTTTTGACTAAGAGATCTTATCTGCAAAATCCACAGCTGCTGCAGTGCGTTGGCTAATCAAGCAAACCTCTTACGAAAAACAATTACTTTCGCTAACTTCTAGGAAACATGCTAACGGTTGCTACCTTTAATTAGTGCAAGACGTTTTTTTATATCGTCAAGGTCAAAACTTTTTTTTTCTTCTACCTTAACATCAACCTAAAAAAACAAAAACAATTAAAGAATACACAAACATATTTACAGTTCTCACGTCACAGTATTTAATTGAGTTCATGTATTCTGAATTCAAAAAAAAACCCTGCAAAATATTAAAAACTAAATGTTTTAATATTATGCAGGTATGCAAAATATTAAAACCTTTAGTTCCAGAGAGTTAATCAATTTTTAAAACTTTCATCGAAAACACCCTTATAGTTGTTATATTCATCAAAATGCATTTCTCATAGATGTTAGTTTAATTTCTTTACTATCACACTTTTACTACTTTTTTAGAAAATTTGTTAGAAAATTAGCGTGCAATGCCATGTCTAACTTTTTATATCAAAAAACTAGAATAAAGACCTTTTAATTAATTTTATTTAATTAGTTCCAAGGGGGCATCCATAAAGAACGAACGCAGTAAAACCACTAATTTAGGATCCCCCTCCCATTTTGTACGAGCCTGTACGCTTTCGAAGAACCCCTCCCCCTATCTCCGCATTATTTTTTTAAAATAAAGCCCCCCTCCCCACTCCTTTTCCAACGCATAAATATTTCAAAACATTAAAACAAAAAACAAAAACAAAAAACATTTAGTTTATTTGACGTTTCTCTATACTGAAAATTAAAACTTAAAATGTTACTTAATGTATTTATTTAAATCTTAAAATGTTACAACATATTTTAAGAAAAATGTTAAAAACCAATTTGCGTATAGTAATTTAAAAAAACGAAATCAAAAAAGTTTTCAAAAATAAAAAATAGTATTTGGAACGATTGTCGCTCGATTTCTTTTTTTTTTCCTCATTATTTATAAAAATTACACAATACTGATTTGTTACACACTTAAAATTTAATGTTTAAAAAAAAAAAAAAGCTCAGGAGAGATAGTCAAACCGCGCACGTACTGTCTTTAACACCCCTCCCTCCATTTTACGCGTTCGTAAGCTTTTTCGAAACCCCCCTCCTCCATACTTGCGTTCGTATTTTATGGAAGGCCCCTATTATATAATAATGTAAACCGTTTGAATAGGAAGGTTCTATAGATTTTTACAATTTAGGAAGTAATAAAGTAGTTGGGGTAAAATTATAAATTATAATAAAAATCTGAAAACAATATTTAGTTGAGTAATAAAATATTCTTAATGAGTTATACATTAGACAACATCTAATGTATAACTAATGTATAACGAGTTATACATTGGATCAATATTTTTTGATTTTATCATTTAAAAAAGACAATCAAATACAAAATTCTACAAATAATAACTGCAAATATGCAATAGAGAACATACAACATTTATTATCGAAATGTTTATTTGAAAAATAGTTTCTAATAACGAAAAGGTTCTAACAAGAGTTTATACTAGGCCAACAACTCAAGATTGCGAATCAATATTTTTAACTGCGAATTTTAGTTTGTAAAATTATAAAAAAAAGTATTAAAAAAGTAATACCAAAAAATTTTATGGTACCATGTGGATTTATGGTACCATAAAATTTTTTGGCAAAACTCTCATTTTCAAAAACATACTCAGTCATTATCTAGCTCAATAAAAGCATTTTCAATACCAAATAAAGGGAAATTGGGATCTCCTTTTAATATATACTGTTGCACAACTCAAAAAGGTTTAAACTCGCTGAGCACAAAAATTAGCAGCGAAAGGAAAGAAATACTCACTTTTAAAAATAGTTTTAATTATATTGGACTTAAGAGCCACAGGAGTTGACCAATTGAACTTATTTGAGTTAAGCGTCACATGGGTTAAGACCAATTGGACTTTATGGAGTTAAGAGCCACATGAGTTTGAACACATTGGACTTATTGGAGTTAAGAGTCACTTGAGTTAAGACCTATTGTGCTTGAGAGTTAATTATTGCAAATGAAGAAGAGTTCCAGAATCCAACAAAATCATAAAGGCATTTCTGAATTTAATTATACAATGTTACATTCAAAACTTCATGAAATATTAAAGATTCTGACCTTTAACCAAAAGACTTTGAAAATGGTCTGAACTTCCCAATCCCAAATAAAATTTTTGAGTGCTAACTAAAATTGCTTCTTTAGTAACGTGTAAGGGTTTAGAAACACCAACCTTTTTTCAGTTTTTAACACATAACTTTTTACAAACTTCCTGAATCTTTATGTACTTTATATCATTGTACTTTATATTATTTCAATTTAAAATACATACCACAGAAATTGAAAAATTTAACTGTTAAAATTTAATTTTTTATTAAAAAAGGCTTCTGTGCAAAAGGTAAGAAACAGTTCGATCAAGTCTTTGTAAACAAAGCAAAATTCAACCTTTTTTTCTAGTACACCTATTCCATGTAAAGTAGCAGAAAACTTAGTAATCAATACCATATTAAATTACCTCTCAAAACTAAGTTTATTGTCTTAATCTCAAGATGGTTTTTAAAAGAAAAAAAGTATTTGTTACAAACTTACTAGAATTTATTAAGTATGTTACAAAATGCATAGTTAACAAAAATGCAGTATATGTGATATATCTGGACTTTTCAAAAGCATTTAACACAATCTCTCACATCTTATTAATCCTCAAGCTGAAAGCTTATGATATACTTGTAGACCTTCTTGATTGGATTGTAGACTTTCTCATTAATAGAAAACAGAGAGTAGTACTTGTGACTGATAGGCTCGTGTGGGCTGACTATGCTCAAGTAGTATCTGTGACTAACTAGGCTCGAGTGACTGACTAGGCTCATGTTACTAGCAATGTCCCACAAGGCTCTTTTTTGGATCTAATACTCTTTATAATTTACATCAATAACAATTTGAATTGACATTTATGTAAATGACACAATGCCTGACAATTTAAAATGTGAGACCAGAGATCTGTTAAGAATATGACTATGACTATACAGTGAGATGAAATGTTTTAACTTAAGGCTCCGCAAAAAATAGATTTGAAAAAACTAAGTAATTAAAGTAGTAGTTAAATGACAATAAAAACACCAATATAGCTATAAAAAGCCCATCAAGAAGAGCACTTAAAAATTGACAGATCACAGACAAGAAAAGCTTAACAACAAAAAGCCAACAAACAAAAAAAGCTCAGATGGAGCTTGGAAGGACATGTGATAGCTCCATTATTTCACGCATAGAAAATACTGACTTTAATAAAAGGTATCTAAATAAAACTTCTTTTTTTTTTAGAATTAACAGTTGAACCTACTTCTGCTGTTAGTGTATAGAATCGGTGAAAAACCCCAGGCTGCTATGATTTCTATTATCTGCAATAAAGCTGGTGTTGATTTGTATGAAATTAGTTTCTTACAGTTACCTGCAAAAGATTTGCAGTTGGTGTAACCAGTCTAAATTTAGAATGTAACGATGATATTTTGCTTGGCATATTGCAGACATAAAATTAAACTGAGTGGGCCAAAATAATTCTAAATCTCTTGAAATACTATGATGTTGTCAACTATATTATTTGTGTTTGCTTTGACACATATGCAACTAACAGCAAAATGCTGGAGTATCAATCAACTATCCTTAATATTAGTCTTATATGGCGCAAATGTTGCCATGATATTATTGAAGTACATAAACATTTGATGACAGACTGACTAAAATCAAGACTAGGTCACGGAGAAAAAAAATTTATGTGCTTACAGAAGGCTTTTCAGGAGAGAAAACTACAAGATTCTCTGTCAGCTCTATGTTTTCTATCTTAGTGAACATGTTTCGGGTATAAAACTTCATCAGCCAAAAACTTGCCAAGAAGCAAGGTTTATGGCAGATGCAATTTATTTGGTTACATTAGAAATTACAAAGAACATATAAAACATAATGAATAAAGAATAAAGATGGTTCATACAGCTTCCTTACTTATATCATTGACAAACTGCCTTTGGTTCTTTAAATGATGTCTAGATTTTAAAGCACCAGCTAATTATTTGGCAGCTTTTAAGAATGTGTTTGATTTAAATAAAAATTATCCCAAATTTGCTCAATCACAACCAAAAAACATGCAAAAATGCCTGGTATAGTAAATAATGTAGTGGCTTTAGTTGGTGCAAGACAAGAAAAAGTAGATGCTGCAAAAACTTTTTCATTTTCTAAGGAATTTATGAAGGACAAATCTAAAATGCTTAGAATTACCTAGAATAAATTATTTGTCTACAACACTGGTTGCACTATCTACAAAAGATGGACCTTGCTTTCCCTAGCCCAGGTAACCCATGCTTAGGAAGCGACCGGGGTTGATATTTGACCAGAGCTGAGGCTTGGTTTGATAAAATATAACTAGGGCCAAAGCCGTGTTTGTGACAGGGACTGCATAAACATTTATACATCATATTATATTTTTTTCTTATTCAAAATTCATGTTATATTTTGTACATATATGCATATATAAACAGCATTATGATCAATATGATCATCATAATCATCATTGCCATTATCATCATAATCATCATTGCCATTATCATCATCATCACCATCACCATCATCATCATCATCATCATCATCATCATCATCATCATCATCATCATCATCATCATCATCATCATCATCATCATCATCTTAATCATCATCTTAATCATCATCATCATCATCATCCTTATCATTTAATTATCATCATCATCATCATCAGGCTTTAGTCTTCCTCTTTTATGTTGTTTCTCTACTCATTCTTCCTTGGCTTCTCATTCAACAAGTTACATCCTTTTACTGCATTAGTCCCTTCGTGCTGTAAAAAATTTTATTAATCCAGTTTTTTTTCTTGCACATCAAAAAAACCTTATAACTCTTACCCATCTTCCTTTTTTATACAACCTACAACTTTAAGTCTTCAGTTAACCGTTTCCTAGTATTTTAACCTATCCTCTACTTTAAAGTAACTCATAAATTAATAGTGGTTATAGCAAGTAATAGTGGTAATAGCAATCTTGTTGGAATTAAATTAGAATTTAAAAATATATAAATATATGCTAGTATTTAACAAATAGTAAATGTAAGTATAAAATTATAATATAAAAAAGTTAAATTAAAAATTTTAATAAATTTAAAAATTATAATTTTTTATCTAGCCCCGGCTAAAAATTATAAGATTTAGCAAGAGTTGACCTTGCTAAATCTTATAATTTTGCCAGGGCTGGGTTTGCAAAAAGTCTCATTTTTAGTCGGGGCAGGCCCCGATCACTTCCTATCTATGCCCAGATCGAGATGGCAGCAAAAAGAGATTTTTCATTTTTGGAAAACTTTAATCTGTAAATAATATGGAAGTCATCAATGACTGTTCAGAAAATATATGACTTTATTATATCATAACAAAATGAAGACATGAAGCAGAATGTCTTTTGTCCCGAACCAGAATAAAAATATAAAAAAATCTACTAAAACCTGGCTAAACTATATTTAAAGAACTTGTATATTTTTTTAACATTTTTGTCTACCATTCTTCAACATGTGACATAAATTTTACAGCAAATAACTTTTATTTTAATAAATGTTTAACAGAAAGAAATATTCTTAATACTTACAAGTTTTATCTTAAAAGAAGGAACAAATCAAATTTTCCTAAAAAACCAAGTTTTACACTATGCATTTAAAACTTGTAAACTTAAAATATTCTGGTGTATTTGGTAATAGCATATTTCATTTCTTCAAAAAAAAAAAAATTTTTGGGACAATCTAGTGTTTAAGAATGTTGAAATACTACAAAGAACGAAACATTTCAAAGAACAAAAAACATATTTAAAACTATATATTTTGCCAAAAACATTCATATTCTTTGTAATGTTTTTGTTGTAATTTTATGTTTTGGAACAGATACCTGAAAAATCCAACAGTTCTAGCAGACTCTTCATTTTGAAGAACAGAACAGGCAACAAAAATTCAGAACAGGCAAAAAAAACAGTGCATTCAATATTTAGATATATAAAAAAAAATACAGAAACGAATTCCACATTGATTACAGATTAAAACATTTGCATTTTATTGTCAACATTTGCAAAGCCATTGAAGAAACCTTTTAACTATAGTACATTAAAATTACATTGTAAATATTAAATTTCATCTAATGTTGATGCTTGTTGGTAATAATTATTTTAGTACTTTCTCTTTTAGGTTTAAAAACTAATTATGTTTAAAAGCAAAAATTACTATTTGAAACCTACTTAATAAAGGTGATTTTCATTAAAATCTGAAATAATTTAATACAATTAAGTATATTTATTAATAAGTATATTTAATAGAAAAGAAATCAAAAACAATAATTATATAAAAACTACACTAATGTAACAGAAATGTTATATAATCATTATTTATATTTTATGTAGTTACTACATACAGTATTTAAGAGTATTGTTTGTTTTGTATTTCGTTTGCTTCCCGATTATACTTAAATTCAAATAAATAAGTTAATGAGAAATTGATAGTTGAATCTATAATTCTCCTAATATCAATTCCAGATCACAATTTTGCTATGATTAACAAATAATAGCTGATATCCTACACAAAATAATTATTTACTAATAAGACAAAATAAAAAAACCTTTATTTGATCTTCTTTTTCAGGTTTATTAACTTCAACTTGGGGTTCGTTAAGTATTTCATCTGATATAGAACTGGTGGACGGCTAGATTTTAATTTAAAAAAAAGTATTATTTATACTGCAATACACCATAAAACCAACATCATCAATCATCATTATCATCATTATCACGATCATGACCATCATTATAAATAGTTGCAGCTAACAACCTTTTTTCATAATTAATTTCACTACCTGACTTTGACTTGATTTTTGAAATTTCTCTTTTAAAATTCGCAATCTATCCATATATTTTTCTGATTCTAAACATCAAAGTTAATCAATACAAAAACAATTTAATAAAATAAACAAACAATAGAAAAAGACTTTTAATTAGAAACATGAAAATTATTGATAATTGTTAACTAAACATTTTATTAAATATAGTTATTATATATTACATAACAAACAATTTTGTGTAATACAGATTAGTTTCTCCATGAGATTGTTACAGCATATTTTTTTGAAAAGCTTTTTATTTTTACCAAGTAAATTTGAGGAAAAAAAATACTAACATTTTTTGAAGGGTTCTAGGAAGTAGTTTTTAATGATGTTTTAATGTTAAGTTTTTATGTATTCAGCTTTATATAGACCCAAGTCACATTACCTCATCTACTGGGGTTATCTACTGGGGTTTTCTTGCCAATATCTGCATTTTTATGGACATGATCTTTTTTGGACAAAGCAACTCTAGAGGTATTAGCTTTTGTACCTTTTTTTTACCTTGGTTTCCTATAAAAACCCATTTTAACCTCTCAAGATGTTTGTTCTTTGCAAAACCATTGCCTGACTTATTTGTAAGCAAGTTCTCCACAACTTTTCTGTAACCTTTTTTATTTTTTATTTTTGTTTTTCTATTATTACTGTTGTTTCAGTAGATAAATTAGGACATATGATTGACTTTTTACATAGGAAATTTTGGTGTTTTCAAGACTTGCAAAATATTTTTGTTTTGTGTTTTTCACCAGTTTAAGATATCTCTTTGCTAACTCTTTAATGGTCTGAAAGCAAACACATGTCTGTAGAAATAGCAATCACATGTCTGTCTAAGAGTTATAATTCCTATGTGCAGTCTGGTCGTATGCAAATTTTATGGACATGGATGTTGATGACTGCTTTTCTAGTATCATAGGTTAATAACTACCATGATCATCATAGATCAAGATTATTTGCTTTTGAATTTAGGTAACAAATAGCATAAAGTGTTTATCTAACCTAAATGAAGATGGTTTTATTTTTACATGCTTTTTATTTCAAGTATCATATTTAACAACAAAGATTATTCAGTTTACATACATAAATAAAAAAATAAAAAGAAATGAAAAATGAAGTAGAAAATTCTATTTACCAGTCCCCGGTTTTTAAACAGAAGATATTCCATTCATCTACATGCTGTTCTAATTTTTTTTTTTAAATTATCTTTATTTTGATTCCAATTAAAAAAAAACATCTTTATTAATGTGCACTATCAGACTACAAATTTTAAGAGCATCTTGCTCAAAACCATAACACTTTCAATAATGAGCAGCAGATACAATTATAACTTCATTGTTTTTACTTCTTTTAACCTTCACATTTGTCTTAATTTTGTCTTAATGTTTCTTTTGGTACAGAACATTCTTTAGCAGCATAATAAACATTAAAGAACATTCTTTAGCAGCATAATAAAATGCTTTTTACTAATATTAATAATGTACTAATATCATTTTATTTATATGTTTTACTAATTTTAAATTAATAATTTTGTACTTTTTATACTTTTTTTTATTTTAAAAATTTTATGTTTAAACAAGACACATGCTGATAACAATTGGAATAATTAAAGGTGTTTAACATGCACAGAAATTGGGTAAAAAATACATATATATTTATTTTATATAAATTTTGTATACTTCCTCAAATATCTCAAAAACCAGATATATCTAAATCATATATTTTTTGGAAACTACATATTATTGCCTTTAATTTGATATGCCACATATATTTACCAGTTTTTGAATTATTTGTGGTTATAAAAAATGTTTTATTGTTTCTTTAAGCATATTGCTCTAGATATTTTATATAAATTTATAAAAAGACAAATTACAAGGAAACGCTTAAATTTTATTTTTCCATTTTACATAAACAAAGTATTAATAATGTCATTTTCATGTACTTTGAAGCGTGTTTTTTTACTATGCCCTATCTCACTATACGATTTGCATTGTATTTGTCTTTTGTTCTGTTCCTCCGTAACTAAAGGATTGGAACCCACCCAGTCTTTTAAAACAATCATCCAAGTTTTGCAACTGATTTGTTTTTCTTGATAATTTTTCTCTAAAAATTCTCAGTTGTTTGATGTCTGTCATGTTGATTTAATCTGATTACTGATTTCATGAAATGTAATAAGTAATCAGTATTTTAATTTTCTCATTGTAAAAAAGGCTTCTATCTATATTGCCAGTTGTAGTACTACCCCCTTAACCTGATCAATCTGCAAAATCCCATTTGATTCATGTTCTTTTGCCAATTAACACCTGTATATATTTTTTCTCTATTTCACAAAAGTAGGTAGTGCTGGCTGTCTTAGACTCTGTCCACGCATGGACTCCTGCAGCCATATGAACCACCACTTTCATAAAGTGGTCAAATCCATGGATTACTTGTAGAGATCTTATAGTTGATCCAGCTATTGGACTTGCTGTTTGTCCATGGCAAACATCTTTATTTATAATGAATATTTATTTATAATAAATCCCTGTTCAACTGTACATATATCTACACATTGTTCCTTAGATAAATCACAAAGATCAAAGTAGGCACCTCCATAGCCCTAATATTTATTTAATGCTTTTCTGTCAAAACTGTTTGCAACAATGTTAACTTTAATATTTAAATAACGTCCATTGAAGAAAATAATGAAATCTTCCTCTTTCATTGTTTTGATTTCCGCATTAAAAATGGTTAAAGGCTATGCATTCTCACGTGATTCTTTTCCCATTTGGAGCATCAGAGGCCTCAGTAAAAAATCTGAGTTTGGGGATATTTGTTCCCATATTAAGTTATTTCCATCAGCATTAGAGTTTAAAAGTTTCAGAGAGCAAAACATTGCCATGATTATAATATTGCTATTTACATTGTGTAACTGATTATACATTTTATGTCCTCCACAGCCATCATAACCAAATTCGATATCAAGAACAAAATTTGTTAGTTCACTTGTGATATTGACATTTTCCAGCTTAAGAATTTGGGATGCTGTGATTTTAATAGACTCTGCAAAAGTATAGTAAACTCCGATATATGGTTCCGATAGGGGAATGGTTCTCAGAGGAGTAATAGAATTTTTCAAGTCTTGAACTTCTTTCCAGTTCGGGTAAACATTGATACTGTTAGCTATCAGCATTTTCCTAAGTTTTCTGTATATTGATCAACCAAGCAGTGAATCACAGCAGATTAAAACAGCTGTCACAGTTGTTATTTAGGTAATTTTGACACAGCATGAGGATAAACATCTAGATATTAAGAAATCACAAACTTCTTTCACATTAATATTCTCGATTTCAGCAAGTTTGTTAACATTTTACCAGAGTTCTGTTTTCCGAATTTTTGACTTTCAAAAAATACCATCCCATTTTTTTCTTTTTCTTTGTGTATTATTTTCTGAATTGTAGTCATCTTTTTCATTTAAAAATTCAATTTTGTACGTTAATGTCTTCTTAAATAACATTAACATACCAAATTGAGTTTTGTTTATAAAGGCAGCATATTACTATATCTGCACTAATTGAAAAATTTTCAATCGATGCAGATATAGTAATATGCTGAAAAATAATTATGTCATTTTATTATTTAAGTTACATATATGTTTTAAGTTAGTGTTTACCTCCACTTTTCCCAGTTGTTCATCAAGAATGTTTGTTCTTCTTCTGAAATGAATAATTTTATTGTAAAAAGTTCTAAGCCATTTGGTGACAATTATGTGGTTAAACAGTTTTGATTATTAATTATTGTTAATGTGTATATTTGGCTTTTAATGTTAATATTGGAGGATTTCAATTCAATACAAACTATTGCTAGAACTTGTAAATAGGAAGGTTTAATTCAGTGATAAATGACATTAACTAATTGCTGTGTTTCTTGCAAGAAAACTACACAATGTAAATGAAATACTATATAGTATTTCATATTTTATATAAAAATCATTATCAACATTTTTATGGATTTTAAGTTTCATTTTAACACTAGAACTATGGAGATATTCTTGTGTTCATCATTATAATAAAGAACACTAAACAGATCAGTGTTGACATTCATCAGATTCTCTATATTGTCCAATAAACTTCAAACATAGGCAAGGCTTACCAAAAATAACTTTTTTTGAACTCAGCTAACAAATTTTGGCCATATACACAGTTAAGTAGTAAGGGCATATGTAGCACAAACCAGGTTGCAGGGCAAGACCTAGTTTCCTTCACCTTCCTTATGGCCAGCGCAAGCAATTGAAGGATAGAGTTAGTGTCATAAGAATATTTTTTGCTGCCCATAAAAAGTGCCTCCCTGGGTTGACCACCACTCGCTTTTTAACACCTCTTGCTATGCCACTGTTCACACATATGCCACAACTCCATAATATGAATCTGAGACAATTATGACCAGTCTTCACATAGCTATATAAATGATATTTATAAATAAATAATTGGTTTCTATTTTTCAATTGTAACTTGTATTAACTAATTGTCTTGATATTTTCTAAATACTTTCTAAACTAATACTTTAAAAATACTTTCTAAACTAATTTTTATGAAAAAAAAAATGAAACTTCAAGTTAAATAAACTTGTATAAATCATAAGAAATCATAATGGAAACATTCTTATTCAAATAAAATATACAAGTTTCTTTTTCGCAAGTAAAACAAATTTTAAACATAAATGTTAAACTGTTGGTATTAATGACGTAAGTTAACATTTTATATGAATAGACATGATCCCACCTGATTATACTTTAAATTTTAAACAAACCAAGTTAATCAATGTCTTAAAGCATATTATCCCTAAAACACACATTGTGCCACAATGTGTGTTTTATATAAGCTACTTCTGTTTTGTTTTCTAATGTTGCTATATTAGGAACCTAGACAACCCTATAACTCTAAAAAATAAATCTAAAACTCTAAAAAACTCTAAAACTCTAAAAAAATCTAAAACTCTAAAAAAAAAACTCTAAAAACCCTATAACTCTAAAAAATAAACAAGACCCTGGGTGAACCTGGATGAAAAAGGCTTTTGCAATAGGAAATAATTTGAGCAGGGAACATTAATTGTTTATGAAAAAATCTCTGTTACTTCTTTCTCTTTAAAAATACCAAAAGAATATAAAAAAAGAGCAAATATAAAAAACAAATAATATATGCAGTTGAGATAATTAAACTTTAATGAAAATATTTAATCATAAAACCAACCTGAACCTGATATTGTGTGAGAAGAGCTAAATGCAGATTGAGATGAATTTTCTAAATAAATTTTTTTTTAAGATTAAAAAAAATGGAACCACAAAATAATATGTAGCATCAATCTATAATACTAATGATAAAAATCATTACCTCTATTATTAATTAGTTTTAATTTTTCTTCTGTGGCAATAGTTTTTAGTGAACGGTCAATAAAATTTTGAAAAAATGGTGAAGTATTTTTTATATATGGATTGACATCATAATCTGGATACTGCTGTTTAAAGTAATGGAGTTCAAGTATACCCTAAACAACATTATTCAAAACTAAAAAAACATATACACTGAATGATAATGATCAGACAGGCATGAAACTTCAAGTTTCAATAGAAAATTTCCTCAAATTCTTAACAAAAGTAAGTAATTTGTTCAATAAAAAAGTTATTCATATATAAAAATCCAATCAAAATAGTTTCAACATTTTAGAAAAATTCAATCAGGATAACACACTGAGTATATATATATATATATATATATATATATATATATATATATATATATATATATATATATATATATATATATATATATATATATATATATATATATATATATATATATATATATAAAAACTCAGTGTGTTAGCAAGAAAAAAAATTTTTTACAACATTTTTGCAAGAATTGGAAAGAAAAAAGTCATTGCATTCTGACATTTCTATTTTAATCATTTATATAAAATAGAGTTAAAAACATTTTTTTAACTCTATTTTATACTCACTTTATACAAGCAAATTAGAGTATAAAATACTCTAATATGCTTGTATAAATTAGACTATAAATTACATAAATAGAAAGGTTTTTTTGATAAGTTATATTCATAGCAGGAATATTTTTATATTTTGTAAATGTTAAATTACAATTAGTAAAATAAGATTTTTTCATTTTTAAATCACTTCTTGTTTTTGAGTGATATAGTAAAGGAAAGTAAAAACGAAAGACCATTGTTTGCAATTAAAATTTGAATGAATGAACTCGATACTTAGATCTATTTTAATTGCGTACATTGCTTTTAAATACTTTTAAAAAGTTTAAACGACTATTTGCATATGTTGTCTTTTAAATTTATTTATATATCATTTTATAAATGTAAGCGAAAATGGCTAACAGTATTAAATTTTTAACAAAACTATTTTGACAGTTTCCACAATCCTAATAACTGAAACAACTTTTTAATTGACGACTGTCGATCAAAACACTACATATTGCATGGAAATTTTTTTGAATATTTTTTTTATAGTTTTTGAAGTTTTTAAATACTTTAAAACTAAAAATTTTAAATACTTCACAATTTTTTTTGAATATTTTTACATATTTGTATTTTTGTTCATCTAATTTTATTTTATAATTTTTATTATTAAATAAACTTTTACATGTAAATTTAAATATATTTATAATGAATTAAAATTGCATAAAATATGATATTTAAAGCTTTAATATGTTGTCAGCGATAAGTATAAAAACTTATTTAAATTGATAGCTTCTAAATGAGTAAGTTTTTAATATCTCTTTATAGCTTTTCAATGAGAAATATGCTTGGCTGGCCGATTTTGATCAAATAGAATGTTAGTTTAAAAAACTTTCGTTGCAATATGCTATTTTAGAATTAATTTAAATATACAACAAAGGCATTTAAGCTGGCTATCACCCTGCTACTATAAAGTATATAGATCAGCAAATGTTTAATAGTTTTGCTAATCTTTTTAGCATATAGCTTTTTCAGAAAAAGAATAAACAAACAAAGAATAATGAAAGAAAAGATTGCAGTCCCATGCTAAAGTCTCTTGATAAAGCGACTTTAAAGCGATATATAGCTTAAATGCCTTTGTTGTATATATATATATATATATATATATATATATATATATATATATATATATATATATATAATATATATATATATATATATATATATATATATATAAAATATTGAAAGTATATATTTATATATATAGAATATTGAAAATAGAGTAAAAGTACCACAAACCGGACAGTGCGTAAAAGCGGACACTTATCGAAAAAACTAAATATCTTCCCTAAAAATAAAGACATTTGAAAAATTTAAAAAAGCTTTTAATTTTTACTGTGTGGAAAATTATAAATTTTTTAAAAAAAGTTATTTTTATGTTTGCTTTAATAAGATATTTAAGTTCAAACAAAACCTAACCCTAAAAATCAAACTTTTTTTTGGAAATTAGGTTCTTAGCATGAAAGATATAAAAAGGCAACTTAAAAACAAAGGAAGCTAATTTGTTGGAAATTTTCTGCTAATTTCAAAAATAGTTTTAGATTTTCATAATCTTTCTCAGTTAAAAAGTTATGATGGAAATAAGATTTTCTTCAGCTTTCACCTTAAACCGGACACAATAACTTTACCCTATAATCAATTAAAAGTTCATAACTTAATCTGTTTATTATTTTTTTACTGTAATTGAATTTTTTTTATTATGTTAAAGTTAATTTATTTTATAATTTTTTCACACTGACTGAATTTTTTACAAATCAAAGAATCGACTCTATGATTGAATTAAAAACGGTCTGGACCTCTTTTAATCCAATCATCATAGAGACTTTCTAAGTTTTGCAGTTTAAGACCAAAATGGCATATAACTGTTGGAGGATCAGGCACTTATTCTGTTTGTGTATGTACCCTCCAGCAAAATGCAATACTCTTGACAAATGCTATACAAATGAAATGTACTTACAAAGATATGATGACAAAAGTTGTTTGTGATGTGACAAGTAACGAGTGCATGGTTCATCGATGTCCGAACTGTCTAGGTATAGTTTCTTTAAAGAAGTTTCTGGATGCACAACTAATTGACAATGACAATGACGAGGAGGTGTCATTCAATCAGTGGCAGAAAACAGACAGAACAACATTGATCTATCAGACAACAACAATTGAAGAATGCAAATTGATGTTATCAGAGGCAATAAACAAGTTAACAGCTCATTCCTACATTGCAAAATGTCAATCAAGATACCTAAAGCAACAAAAGGAAAATTGATGCTGACTTTGCAGAAAACTTCACTTTTGTGATTCAAAATGAAATTCAAAGTTACCATTGGTGCAAAAGTCAATGCACATTGCACCCCGTTGCCCTCTATTTATTAAACAAAAATGACCAACTTGAAGAAAATCGTTTTACTTTATGTCAGAAGATAATGAGCATGACACTGGTTTTGTTTATGAAGTTCAAACACAAATAGTTAACTATTTAAAAGAATATCATCCTAAAATTTCAAAGATTCCTTATTTTTCTGATGGTTGTGCTGCACAGTATAAAAACCACAAAAACCTTTACAATATCTGTCTCCATAAAAATGATTTTGACATTGATGCAGAGTGGACATTTTTTGCTACAAGTCATGGTAAGTCATCATGTGACGGTATTGGTGGCATTGTAAAACGATTAACTACAAATGCAAGTCTACAAAGGCCCATAAATGACTTGATATTGAATTGTAACAAAATGTTTGACTACTGTACTAACAATATTAAAAGGATTATTTTTTTCAAGATTGAAAAAGAAAGACTCACAGAATTGTACACCACTTTGAAAACACGTTTTAAGCTAAGTAGAACAATCCCTAGAACTAGGAGCTATCATCAATTTAAACCAGAATCTATAGATACTATTAGCTTTAAACAAACAAGTGAAGATGTTCATATAACAGGCATTTTTTATTTTTTTGGTATTCAAAGTTCTCAAAATGATCAGAAAATTAACATTGATGCCTTGAAATTTGGTGAATTCATTTTGTGTAAATATGATGCGTTTGATTGGATTGGTATGATCAATGAAATTGATAATATAGAGCAAGATGTTATGGTAACGTTTATGCACCCGCACAGTCCTTTTAATAAACTTTTCTGGCCATCTAGAGTAGATGAGTGTTGGGTTCCAATTACCAACATAACTTGTATAATTAATGCACCTGTAACAACAAATGGACGTTAGTATACTTTGACCGTCAATGCATCTAAGCTAATCTTAGCATTATCTTGACAATTTCTTTTTTTTTGTATTTTCTTTTGTAAATAATGAAGTAAAACGGAACAAGCATAAAGCAATAAAATTTTTGAATACAATATTTTCAAAGTTATTTTAAATTTAGGACACATTTATGTGTTTAAAAAAAAAAAAAATTTTTTTTGAGAAAATAAGCGGGGCATGGTCCCCGGTGCCCCAGCCCCATGGACCTTTTGGTCATCTGACCTGAAACAATTTTAATGCATGTTCATCAGGACTACACAAATGCTGAAAGTTTCAAAGCTCCAACTAGTCTGGAACATACTGAAAAATTCATCTCAAGATTCTGGTCAAAAAAGTGGGGCACATCCCTCCAGCCTCCTCCTCTAGTGTCTTGGGCCCTTTTTTAATTTTAAAATGCACATTTATTGACACTACATAAATACCAAAATTTTCATCGTTCCAGCTAGTCTGAAAGGTAGTGAAAAATGTATGGCAAGATTACGCTACAAAATAGTGGGGGCTGTGCCCCGTTAACCATATATGGAAATCCATATACTTGCAGAACAAAATTTTTATTTTTTATGAAAGATCATTAAACATAGAATAATGTGTACAATTTTTTTTTTATATATTATCAAGGCCACATGGCTTTCTTGAGCAACAAAATCAGGTATATAAAAAATTGCCTAAATTTATTTAAACTGAAAATTACAAGTACTTAAAAATATTTTTTTACATTTCTGATTATTTCATTGGATTCTTCGACCCTGAAAATAGCTAGGTACAAATTTTTAAATCAAAAGATTAAATATTTTTAAAGCTATGTGACTTGGAACCTTTAAACAAAGGTCACACTTCTGAGGGGACAAGAGGGGCCTGGCCAAGATCAGTTAAAAGTAAAATGATCATATTTCATGATCCTCTTGGAGCTAGAAGCTAAAATTTTCAAGGATTTTTTGTTTTACTAAGTACTCTCAACTGTATAAAAATCAGTAAAATCTGAGATGTATGGTGACATAGCCTGGCTCAATTGACATGGAATTACCCTCCACCAAATACACTTTAAACAACATCACCATCTGGTCGGATGGAAATTACACAATTTTTGCAGTGGCTCGATGAAATGTTTATTCCTCACACGCAAAAAATTGGTGGTCAACATATTTTACTTTTGGATAGCCACAGCACACACGTCATTAAATGTAGCCTTAAAGTGTAAAGAAAGCAACATAACACTAATTTGCATTCCGGCCCATTTATCTCACATACTGCAACCTTTAGATGATGGTGTACTTTGCCATGTTAAAGATGTTTGGCATGATATTTTAAGAAACATTTATGCTGAAAGTGGTTTTAGCATTTTGTCTACAAAAATTTCCCTTAGTCTCCTTGCACAGTTATATAGAAGCAACAAAGCTTACACTCGTACTTAAATTATTGCTGGTTTTGAAAACACTGGGCTTTTTCCCTTAAATGAAGACAACATTGACAAATCAAAATTACAAATTTGTTAAACTTTTAATAATGCCTTAATAACATCATCAGCAGTTATAAAATCACTACGCAGCCCAAGTTCTTTGCCTTAAACTGGTTATCAAACACAGACCTTAATTCCGCCTGCAACTCCAACTTCAATTTTAACTTGAAATTTAACTTCTCAAGAAGAATTGGCGACTCGTGTAAAAATTAGTGTTGAAAAAGCTCTCTTAAAGCAACTTCAATTCCAAAATGCTTACAAGCATCCTGCAAAAAAACCCAGAAATGTAAGTGGCTGGTCAAACTTTTACAGAAGAAGCATAATTAAATAAGTTAAGAGAAGAAGAAGACGCAAAGCTGTTAAAACAAACATATGTTGAAATTGCAGCAGCAAATGTAGAAACTCCTACCAAGAAAGCCAAAAAAAAGTACAAAAATTGCAAAACGTGTCCAAAGTTTTTAAAAAAATGAAAAGCCAGATATGCAAGTTTCATGGAAAACTTGTGAAAAATCAAGTTGCAGTTCGTGGCTTTGTGAACCTTGTATCCCAAAAAGATATATAAAAGGCGAAGAATTTTTTTGCATGACAGGTTGCAAAACCAGATTTACAAATTTTTTATTTTTATTTCATGTTCAAGCTTGCATATGTTTTTTTATTTGTTTTTTTTTCTAGTTTCTGCTTGTATTATTATTATATGTATATTTTAAAAATAAAAATAATGAATTTATCATTTTATCTATGTTTTTTTTATATAATTTGGAACTGTCCGCTTTTAGGGACAATTTTCCGAAAAGTGGACACTTTTAAAAAAATAAAATCTTATTTTCCATAGAAACTTGAAACTATTATTATTTTTTTTACACTACAGAATTGCTTTAATAATAAACCATATTCCAGAAAAAAAATCCAGCTTTTTGTGAAGAGTGTCCGCTTTGCGGTACTTTTACTCTATATCATAAACTTAGGATAAACTATTCAATTCAAACTTTAGTTTTAATCATATTTTTAAAAATAAGTAAAAAATAAAAAATAAATAAAAAATCATTGAATCAAAACATGTTTGAAAAGTATGTCCAAAAATAGGATTAGACCTGGTATAAACAACCATGTTAAAACCATAACTATTTGACATTTTAAGTTCACTAATTGTTTTTAAATAACTAGTTAAAGCTTTAGTTGGTTTTGTAATGCATCCTTTATTTTAATAACTTGTAATGCATCCTTTATTTTAATAAAGTTAAGTTATAATAGTAATGAAGTTAAATTAAACTAGTAATATCAACTATTCATTCAGATCTTTGTCATTAAATTCTAGAATTTTTTATTGCACATAACCAGAAATTGCAGAACATTATTCTGTTAGCAATTGCATTAATGATATTCTTCTATTGATAAAAAGCGAAATCCATCTGTTATAAATAGTATTGATAACCCTAATATAAGATATTATAAACTTCTATATATAGGATTTTACTCAAATTTTACTAAATCTAAAGTTAATAAAATCATTAAATAATATTGTAAAGATGCCATAATTTAAATTTCACAACCAACAAATTTCAAATCAGTTTATGTATAAAAGATCCACTTCCTAAGCTGCTCCAATCCAATGTTATTTACAATTTTTCTTGCACTGGATGTAATGCCAGTTATATTGGAGAAACCTCCAGACACTCAACAACAAGAATTCATGAGCTTCTTACAAGAGACAAACAATTTAATGTTTATAAGCATTTAATTTTATCTGTCAATTATAAAAATTTAAGTAACTGTAATTGTTTTAAAATTTGGGTACTGTTTCTAACAAAAACAAATTGAAAATTAAAGAAGTACTCCATATTAAATGGGAAAACACACCTTTAAGTAAACAAACAGTTCATTATAATACAAATTTGTCAATCTAGTTTGTTTTATTTACTTATTATTTTTTATGCTATTTATGGTATCATAATTTGTATTATAATTTTTATTGGTTTGTAACAATTCTATTTGTCTGTTAATACTTCTTTGTAATTTTAAATGATGATATCTTGAATGAGAGTTGAATAAATTTAATATATGAACATCAATAAATACGAATTCTCTCAATACTAATTTTTTTATTTAATCTAGCGAAAATTTCTTACATTAAATAAAAAAATTAATATTGAGAGAACTCATATTTATTGATGTTCATATATTAAATATATATATATATATATATATATATATATATATATATATATATATATACATATATATACATATATATATATATATATATATATATATATATATATATATATATATATATATATATATATATATATATATATATATATATATATATATATATATATATATATATATATATATATATATATATATATATATATATATATGTCTTTAGATAAAGATAAAAAATAAATAAAAAATAACAAAGTACTGCTCTAGAATTCTCTTTTGAACCTATTTTTTTAAATATCTCAACAAGAACTTCATTTGAAGGCTGAGTAAATCGTATTGGTGGTGGACCATTGCTGTCCTAGAATCAAATTTTAATAAAATTTGATAAAATTGAAATAAAAATTGTTAACAACAGTTATAAAAAATAAACAAAATACAAGAATTAAATAACATTTTATATAATCATACTTACTGTGCTATCTAACGTTCCTTTAGAACAGTGTTTCATTATATATAATGGGACTTCACTGGCATTTTTGTTATCAAGTGTATTTATACTGTCATAAAGCTAAAAAAAACTTATTCAAAAACAAAATGAAACTGGAAATTAACTAGATACAGTTATCAAAAACAGTAAAATCTGTTTAGAGTATCAACACATAAACTTTTACCTCAGGCCCACGAAGCTTACACAGAGTTTGTAGCAATGCTTTAACTGTTTGCTGTGGAACACGATCTGTACGAATACGCCAAAGAGATGGAGGCAACACACTGTAAAAAGTGTGTATACTAAGTAAAACTGCAGGAAGACGAACTTCATTGATAAAATCAGGAAGAAGGTGAGTAAGTTTCCATATACATTTCATAACTAATTTTATAAGCGATGTTGATGTATTTTCATTTTCTGACATGTCTTGCAATAGTTTTATGCAACTACATAAGCAAGATGTCTTATTGGAATTAGTAATCACTCGCAATAGAAGTCTATTTACACATTGAATAGAGAGATCTGGTTCTTGAAAGTTCATTAAAAGTTTATCATTAAGTACAGAAATAAAATATAGTATGACATCTTTAAGTACATTATATGATACCACACCAGCATAACATTGCGCATCAAATAGTGATAACATTCCACTAAGAAGCAATTTTAAAAGCCTTTCATGCTCTTCACTATTTTCTTTGGTGCTTTGCATATGTCGAGAAAACAACATTTTCATTTGCACCAATGAAGTAACAAGGTACTAACAAAATAAACAAAAGTTTCATTAAAATTTAATCTTTTTTGGACCATACATACACATATAGATAAATATATATATTATATATATGTATGTGTATATATATATATATATATATATATATATATATATATATATATATATATATATATATATATATATATATATACATACATACACATATAGATAAATATATATATTATATTTATGTATGTATATATATATATATATATATATATATATATATATATATATATATATATATATATATAATATATACATACATACACATATAGATAAATATATATATTATATTTATGTATGTATGTATGTATGTATGTATGTATATATATATATATATATATATATATATATATATATATATATATATATATATCAACCCTTGTTAAGAAACATTATCATGCTTAATATTATTACGCTTGCACTAAAATTATCTTTTGATGACGTTTATGTGACGTTTAATTCAGAAGATATTTGGTTGTACGTAAAAGCATTTAACCACTATTGTGAACTAAATGATTTTTAGTTAAAAAAAAAAATTTTGGTTTAATAATGTTTTTTTAATTAAATAAAAAAACACACATAAAAAGTACTTATGATTAACTTAACTTATTCAAGTTATTCATAAGTTTTGATTAAAGTATTGCCTGATCATCGATTGTCAAGACCCAGGAGCAAATTCACGGGTGAGAAGGAGTTGTTGCTCTTCCTCCATCCCCCTCATCATCCCATCTTCCTCCTTTAAGAAGAGGGAAGAGTCAATATTAGACTTTTCAAATTATAAAATAAATGACTTTTTAGTGAAGTTGCTTTTTCGCATTTTCGAAGATTTTACATTATCAATAATTTTTTTTAGTTGGATCACAGAAAGAACATCAATTATAAATGATGAACAAGTTTATAAGTAATAGACGAATATTTTACCAAAGTCAAGTTCTTTAAAAACTTGATTGTTTTTTTGCTTTACTTAAGGGCTGTAAAGTAGTATGAAATTGTAATTATAAATAAATGAAATTTGTAATACCTATTAGAAAGAAACAAAATAAACAGATCTTTTTATTACTTTTTATTTTAAACCAAAATGGTGTGATATTACTGAAAATTTATACAAAAGTAAAATATTAATAAAAAATATTTAAGATAAAAACGATACAATTTAGCATAATGAATTTTTTCTTGCTTCTAGAAATGTTTTCCCTGTAATCACAATGATTTTATGGATCTTTCTTTGGTAACAGGAACTGTTACATTGCTCACAACTAAAATGTTAGTTAACAACTTTTTTTTTTTTTTTTTTTGTTATTCACCTCCTTAAGGCTGAGAAGGCCACTACAGACAAGGAGGCTAGTGGTTATAACCCTCTCTCAACTCTATAACTCCGAAACACAAACCTTGACGAACAAGGCCGCTGCGCGAAGAAAAAAGTTGAGCGCGGTACTACCAGGGACGTGGTGGGGATCGAACTATCAGATAAGAAAATTATATGCCGGCCATATTTGGAAAAAAATTAAAGACACATGTGGCTGCAATAATTATATTTTAAAGTAAAAAAACTGTTACACTTAATAAGGTTGGCTATCGTTTAATGCGCCTTAATTTTGTTTCTAGACTAGAACTTCTTTAAAAAAAAGATAATGACAACATGTTTTTAGTAAAGCGAAACTTCTAGCTTATAATAATTATTTTTCATTTCCTAATGACATTTTCATATTCTTTATAATGGGTTTTATGTTTTATTGTTTTTTGATTTCAACAAATCAAATATTTAATCTCTATATATTTATTTTAAATTTATCAAATTATTATTATTTATCAAATGGATAACATTTTGAATAAAAACAGAGCAACTTTAAAAAAATTTTGAAAAATGGAATCTTTAAGAAATTTTATAAAGCAACTGCTGAAGAAAATGTAATAACGTATGTGGTAAAAATCTTCTGTAATGTGTGTACACTTTATCTAGATAATATCTTGGGCAATACCAAAGGAGCAATAAGAACATTCGCATTATGTTATATAAACAAGGCTCGTTGTATTAAAAAAGATGGCATTTCTCGGCATTTACAAAGTACTGTCCACAGAAATGCAATCCAATTTTCAAATGACCAAAAAAAAAATAAAGAAGCAAAAGCAAACAACAAAGATCAATAGGCTAACAGTCAGTATAAAATAACCAAAACTAAACTGAATAAAGCAAACAATAGATTTTTAAAATGTTTTAAGAAAAATAATAACAATTCATTTTAAATATGAGTTTGGATTTTATTTGTAACTTTTGTTTTAGTTAAACTGTGAAAGTTAAATAATTGACAAAAAATATTGTTTTAAAAATCTATTGTTTGCTTTATTCAGTTTAGTTTTGGTTATTTTATACTGACTATTAGCCTGTTGATCTTTGTTGTTTGCTTTTGCTTCTTTTTTTTTTTTTTTTGGTCATTTGAAATTGGATGCTAAACTCCATTATTCTCAGTTCACTAAATCTCGCATCTTATCGCAGAAGTTAGGCTCTAAAGACTTTTGGAAAATCTTCAACAGCATTGTTAACAAGGGTAGATCTAACATTCCATCTCTCATTAATGGGACTGATCTTATTACCTCTCCCAAGGATAAGGCAGAACTATTTGCAAAGAACTTTTCTTCTAATTCCACTCTTGAATCTTATGGACATTCTTTTCCTTCCATTCCAGTCAAACAGGTTGACCCATTGTTAGACATTCAAATCACTCCGGCTTCTGTTGCTAAAGTCATATCTCAATTAAACTCATCTACAGCTTGTGGTCCAGACAACATTCCTGTCACAGTCTTGCAGAATTGTTCTCCAGAACTTTCTTCAATTCTCTCTAAACTATTTAACAAGAGTTTGACTAAGTCTTGTTTTCCTGCTTGTTGGAAAATGGCATCTGTGGTTCCAATATTCAAAAACTCTGGAGAAAATTCTGAGCCCTCCAATTATCATCCGATCAGTCTTCTTTCTGTTATTAGCAAGGTCTTTGAGTCTTTGATCAACAAATTCCTCACATCTCATCTTGAGTCAAATAAACTGTTGTCAGACAATCAATACGGTTTTCGATCCTCTCGCTCTACGGCCGACTTGCTAACTGCTGTAACTGAAAGATTTTATTGTGCATTAGATGGAGGCGGTGAGGCTAGGGCTATTGCTCTCGACTAGGGCTGTACCGGATTTAATTTTTTCAAATCCGGCCGGAGCCGGATTTGCCGGATTTCTACTGACAGATCCGGCCGGAATCGGAGCCGGAGCCGGATTTCAAAACAAAACTACAGGAGCTAAAATCCTGTACATCCCTACTTGGTGTTGAGCATGGTCAACAATGTGGACTATTCAGAATACCAAGTGACTGCTGTTTTCTGTTAAACTTCATTGTTGTTATTTAAAAAGTTTTATAGCAATTTCTATATATAAATTAATAGAAATTCTAAAGAAATTCTATAGGCCATATGTTTTAAAAGTTTATAGTAATTCTGTTGAACTTTTTTTCCGGAATTTTGTCACTCCGCCACTGTAGTGGATCATTGTGTCTATTTATTTCTGGTTCTTTCGGATATTTCCTTAGTTGAGTTTTAATGCCTTTTAGTAATTGTTGTTTATGTGCCCTGCCACCAGCGGACGTAGACTGAATAATTTTATCAATAAATTGCCAGAGTAATGATGATGATGATGTAGAAAAATTATTAAGCCCGGCTTATTTTGGTGGATTTTCTTCAGTTTTGTCAATTTTCTGTTCAGCATGCTCAGATTGACTTCAATCTTGTTTTTTTAGCTGTCAGTGTTGCCTGTAATGAGGAGAATTTAGTTTTAAATTGTGAGTCAACCAGCCTCGTCAGTATATAAAGAGGTTTCTTTTTTCAATGCTTTTAAAACGCTCATCCAATCACTTGATTAGGGTTGACATCATAGTCTTTATACCTGCATCATTGTAGAATATCGTGTGTCTTCCCTTCAGAATTTTTTGTTGCGTTGTTGTTTGAAATTAGACTAAGCTTATTAAATTATAAAGAAATATAAATACAAATACCAAAACAAATATGAGGTTCATAAAATATAGAATTACAAAAAAAATTGATTTTTATAAATAAAATATTAGGTATACATGTAAACACGGGCAAAAAAAATGTAATAAATATTTGACAAAATTCAAAACTCCGGCTAAAATTATGCCGGATTTGCTAAACTTTTGCCGGAGCCGGATTTGGGCCGGATTTGTAAAAATGGCCGGATTTCGGCAGGAGCAGGAGCCGGAGCCGAAATCCGGTACAGCCCTACTCTCGACATATCTAAAGCTTTCGACAAAGTTTGGCATGCTGGTCTTCTCCATAAGCTTGCTTCATATGGTGTTTCTGGGAAAGTTTTTGAGATTATCAAATCATTTCTTTCTAACCGGTTTATTAAAGTCATCCTTGAAGGCCAACACTCTTCTTTATTTCCAGTAACTTCTGGGGTTCCCCAAGGTTCCATCCTGGGCCCTGTTTTGTTTCTTATCTACATAAACGATCTTCCTGACAACCTTTCATCTAAAGTAGCTCTTTTTGCTGATGACTCAACTTTATACTCCTGTCTTGACAAAAAGTCTTCTCTTTTCGATTTCGATCGCCTAGAACAAGCAGCTGATCTTGAATCTGATCTCACTTCAGTAATAGATTGGGGTTTACAGTGGCTTGTGAATTTCAACTCTAAAAAAACCCAATTGCTTACTGCAAACAACTACCGTAATATGGTCAACATTGATATATTAATGAATGGCAACCCTCTTACTGAGTCCTCCTCTTTACGTCTTCTTGGGTTATCGCTTACTACTGACCTTTCATGGAAACCATATATACAATCGATTGCTAAATTAGCTTCTGCTAAGGTTGCTTCTCTTTATCGTGCTTGCCATTTCCTTACTTCTGATTCCATTCTCTACCTCTACAAATCTCTTATTCGTCCCTGTATGGAATACTGTTGTCATATTTGGGCTGGTTCTTCTAACGATTTACTTTCTCTTCTTGACAAGGTCCAAAAACGCATATTAAATGTTGTTGGACCTGGACTGCTAAGCTTGAACCTCTTTCCCATCGTCGTAAAGTTGCATCTCTTTCTCTTTTCTACAGATACTATCATGGTCACTGCTCAAAGGAATTATCATCTCTAGTTCCATCAACTAAAATTCATTCTCGTTTTACTCGTCATTCAGCTAAGTCTCATTCGTTTACTGTATCTGTCCCTGCATGCTCTAAAAACTTTTATTCATCTAGTTTTTTTCCCCGCACTTCAATCCTTTGGAACTCTCTCCCTTCTTCATGTTTTCCTGACTCATACAACCTTCAACTTTTCAAGTCTTCTGTCAACCGTTTCCTTGCTCTATAACTGTTCTTTTTTTTTCTCCTAGTAACTCCCAACTTATTAGTGGTTGCTTGCAGCCTTGTTGGGACTGAATGCAAATAAAAAAAAAAAAAAAAAATTGTTAATTTAAAAGTCATGTAACATAGAGCATAAAGACCATTTGTTGCCAACAGCTTCATCATAGTAAATATATACTTTGAGTTGAAAGTAATGTGGGCATATTGATTAGGCATTATAGGACTTGTTTGAAAAACTCAAGCAGATTAAGTTTAAAGACACACAGTTTTTTCCCCCTGATAAATTGTTTTAGTTTTCTCTAAAGGAGCTGGAGTGATGCATTCAAAGCATTATTTTGTAATTACTTTTAGCAGCATCAGAATTAGACAACTTATTGAGTCTCATTTATTGCTTTATTTGGTCACAAAATAAGCAAGCATCTTATTTAGGATATCCAATTTTCAAATTACACCTAATGATTAAAAACAATATTTTTTTTGATAAATTCTTTTTTCCTTTCCTAATTGGTTGGTCCCTCTAGAGCAGCTAATTTTGTGAATTAATGAACAGTACAGTTTATTTTTAAACAAATGGGATGTGTTGGACAATTTTCATTAGAAAAAGATCCAGTGAAATTTTTTTTTTGTGTTGTTAATTTGTACGTATTTTTTTTTTTTATCAAATATATTTGGCCATAACATTTTGTATCTCAGGCGTTTGCCAGAGATATAAAATGTTAGATATAGCTCTTGTTTTTATGTCTGTTTATTTGTGGCCATTGTTTCATTTAGAAAAATGCAATAGCTGAAAAAGTGATGGTGATGCTAAATTTTTTTTTTCGCCTAAGGAAATGGAGTTTAAACCTAAAATAATTGTTCTTTATGATTTATCTTACAGAGATTTCTAACTAAACTCCAACAAAATACTTTTTAATTCATTTATATTAGCAATTTTTTAAAATTTGAAACTTAAAAAATAAACTTTTTTAATTATAAAGAATGCAGAAAACCTTACAATTGCCAATAAATCCAAACATAACTAAACTTCAACTAACAAAAACAAAATGCTTCCTACCTCTTACTACAAACACACAACTAAGTTACAGCAAAACATTAATTCAAATATTCAAAAAATCGAAAACAAAACAGGTATACGATTTGACATTAGTAAGATATATAATCTATAGCATATGAATATAACATGTTTAAAAACGACATTTTCGTATAACATTTCGAGAAAAAAGCCATTTGCATATAGCTTGTTTAAAAAGACATTTGCATCGTTTAAGAATGAATCACAATTAATTAGAATAGAAAATATTTTTTTAGAACATATTTTCAGTATTTCTATAGTAAATAATATAAATTTGAATAAATTTAAAAAAGTAAGAAAATAAAAGTTACTACCTGATCAACTCTTTTTACTATTTCATTATCAGTTTTTTTCTTTCTAAATACATCTTCAAGTTGTACTAAAGATTCCATTGCAGCTTGGGTATCAGAAGATGAAATTTTAGCAATAGTCAGATCAAGCAACTCTCCTACATCTTTTGTTGTTGAAGCATTCGTTGATGAGATTTTGGAAGAACTACTATAAGCTTTAAGAAGATTATCAGGTATATTTGCAGCTTGGGTTATATCATCTAAATTGACTTTCTTTAATTGCGGTATATTAGCTGTAATTATTCCTTCATCTCCCTCGATGGATCGAAGATCCAGCTCAAACTCTCTTTTAATTTGGAGAGGAGGAGGAACACTTAACATAAAAATATGAGACATGAGCAACAGTTATATTTTTTTATTTTTATTTTTATTTAAAATAAAGAAACTTACTTTAATTTTCATATTTATTTATACTTTCCTAATTTTAATTTTAAGAATTTTTTCAACTTTTTAAATTGTTTCAACTTTTCAAATTGTTTCAACTTTTATTTGTTTAAGAAGTAATCAACTAAATTTAATGCTTTTAAAACAGCTTGATGTTGATTCAATACTAATTATATTCATCTTTAGACTAAAGCTGCATACTTGTACATGTCTACTTATATAAGGTTAATAGTAAGCTAACTTTGTATTAACCACACAGGTTCTTCATATAGACAATCAAAAAATAAAAAATAAAAGAATAACTCTATATTAAGGCATGATAAATCCTATGACTTAATGAGGTGTATATTTTTTAATTTTTTTTGAATGAATATAATTAGTTTTCCCTTAAACAATATAACCAGTTTCTTAATTCTATTTGAATTAAGAACTTAAGGGGTAAACAGATTCTATCTGTTGACCAGCCTCGCACCCCTTCTCCATCTATTAGACTGGCGCAGATGTATTTTTAATACATTGTTTCCAGTTTAGGATGATGAACCCTGGATCTTCTTGACTCGATGCATGGGTTTTGATTGTGTCTCTGTTTTTATGACTAGGCAACTCATTCTATTATCTCCAAATGAGGGTACAGCTCTAAAACTCAGTTTTATGGTTCTGAGGCCGGCTGGTAGTCAGGTTTCCCGATCTCTCTGGGGTAGCTCTCAGAGACACTGATTCCATCAACAGCTGAAAAATATTTGAGTACTAACAGTGCTATGTTGCGCATGGATGGTGTCCCTGTTTGTACTTTTGGTGTGCATTGCCGAGGCCACATTGGAGCCCTTTGTTACGGCTTAGGGTTTATTAGTGGAAATGAGGCAATTGCTTGGGCTATAAAACAGTGTACTGAGTACTATCTATGTTTTGAGTCAAGTTCTTTAACAAATTTAAAAATGAATAAAGTAACAAAAACTATAAAACACAAAAAACCACAGTCATCACCAAGTTCGCTAAACCTATCATTCACCAATATTCGTGGTCTTCGAAGTAACTTTTCTTCTATTGAGTCTTATCTCTTGCAAAGTTCACCAGACCTACTTGCTCTTTGTGAGACTAATTTGAGTTCAGCTGTCTCATCTTGTGATCTTAGTGTTGATGGTTATCTTCCTTTAATTTGTAAATACTCCAATAGCCACATGCTTAGCCTAAGCATTTACATTCGCAAGAATTCACCCATTTGTCGGGAAACTAGGTTTGAATCCACAGACTACTCTTTTATGTGCTTTCATTTAGCACCACTTCACTCTATCACCTTTCTCTTTGTTCTATATCGCTCTCCTTCATCTCAAGACTGCACTCTTTTTGATGTTATTTCTGATTATATTGACCAAGCCCTCATTCTTTATCCATCAGCCATTATTGTTGTTGTCAGTGACTTTAATGTTCATCACACTGAATGGCTTGGCTCTAGTGTCAGTGACTCCGCAGGCATTAAGGCCCACAACTTTTGCCTTTCTCAATCCCTAACTCAAATAGTCAACTTTTCAACTCGCTTTCCAGACAACCCGAATCATATACCTTCTCTACTCGACTTATGTCTTGTTTCTAATCCTAGTCAGTGCTCAGTTTCTCCACACTCACCCTTAGGTGCGTCTGATCATGGTTTGGTCTCTCTAAAACTGTTATCTCATTCTTCTTTACCATCAGAATCCCCCTATCATTGCACATCTTACAACTACCTTAAAGCTGACTGGGACTCTTTCCGTGATTTTTTTCATGATGGCCCCTGGGTAGAAATCTTTCATCTTCCTGTTGACAAATGTGTTTCTTACAAAACTTTGTGGATTCAGGCTGGCATGGAATCCTTTATTCCGTCTCGACGATTCCAGGTCAAGCCTCACTCTTCTCCATGGTTTTCCTCACATTGTACTGCTGCAATTGCCAATCGAAACCATTACTACCATATCTATCAGCAAAACAATTTTCCAGAAAACAGACGTCTGTTTACTACTGCTAGGAACCATCGTAAAAAGGTTTTGTCTAACGCCAAAGCCCGCTATTCTCAGATCATGAAATCTCGTATTTCATCACAAAAATTAGGCTCTCGTGACTTCTGGAGAATCTTTAATAGTATCAATAATAAGCGCAAGTCTGTAATTCCACCTCTTTTGTACGGTTAAGACTTCGTCACCTCACCTAAAGACAAAGCTGAATTGTTTGCCAAGAACTTTTCATCAATATCATCTCTTGATTCCACTAGTTGCGTTCTACCTGATATAGCCGTCAAACAGGTTGATCCACTGCTCGACATCTGTATCACTCCAGCTTCTGTATCTAAAGTGATTTCCTGCTTAGACTCTTCTACAGCTTGCGGCCCGAACAACGTACCTGTTATAGTCTTGCAGAAGTGTTTACCGGAGCTGTCATCTATTCTTTTAAAATTATTTAACAAGTGCTTATCAGAATCTTGTTTTCCAGCCTGCTGGAAAGCAGCATCTGTTATCCCTATTTTTAAAAATTCTGCAGAGCGATCCGATTCGTCTAACTGTCGTTCTATTAGTCTTTTTCCTATCATAACCAAGGTTTTTGAATCTTTAATTAACAAACACTTAATCTCTCATCTCGAATCTCATAACCTACTTTCTGATCATCAATATGGATTTCGATCTTCTCGTTCTATGGCTAATTTGCTAACAGTAATAATCGATAGGTTTTATCGCGCATTAGATAAAGGTGGAGAGGTTAAGGCCATCGCTCTTGACATTTCTAAAGTGTTTGATAAAGTTTGGCATGCTGGTCTTCTCCGTGAGCTTTCTTCTTATGGTGTATCAGGAAACATCTTTAAGATTATTGAATCCTTCCTTTCCAATCGTAGTATAAAAGTTGTCCTTGATGGACAGCACTCTTCTTCTTATTCTGTAACCTCAGAGGTTCCTCAAAGTTCAATCCTTGGCCCTATACTCTTTTTAATTTACATTAACGATCTTCCAGATATTCTCACATCTAAGGTGGCATTGTTTGCTGATGATACTCTTACTTCCGATCTTACTTGGAAACCTTATATCAAACCCGTTGCAAAATTAGCATCTGCTAAAGTCGCTTCTCATTTAAAAAAATTAGTAAAAGTGCTTGTATGCTCCATCCATTAGTAAAAGTGCTTGTAACTACGATCTTGTTAATAATGATTAAAACAGCTAATGAGTTAGGAATTATCAAAATCAGAGATAAACAAATTATTTTACTAGTGTTTCATGTGTATTTCATTTTTTCTTTCAGCTGATTCTTTTACTTAACTGAAATGCTATTTTCAATTTATGACATATTTAAAACTTATTGCCTGTCAATAAATCAAAACAATTTACTGTAAGCTCTAAAATTGAATAAGCTTTAAAAATTCCAATATTTCTCACTATTTCTTTAAAACCTTTTGATAAATTAAATTTTTAGGACTGCATTTTTTTTCTTCTTCATAAAACCTGTGGGTAGTCAAAATTTGAAATAAATCTGAAGTGGTACCCTGGGGACCATTACATGATTTGAAGTAGAATGATTAAAAATTATTTGTTTCTCTTTTTTTTTTTTTTGTAACTACTTTTTACTATACATTTCTTTTGGTTTTTAATGAATTTCTTAACTTTTAATGATTTATAAAAAAAAAATTGCTTATGGGTAAAATGAAACAACCTTTTAACTGAATAAAAATTCAAAGAAGTTATTTACTTGGTTTTGATAGTAGGCTTATTTAATTCCAAATCTTGTTTTACTTGGACTCCAGCTTCATTGGAATCTATGGTATCTTCAGTGGATTTTGAAGGCTGTCTGGGTTTTACATTAGCTAACTGTTTAGGAGGTTGCTCTTTTTTATTACCTGTTCTTTTGATTCGCTCCTCTAAATATCCCATTTCCTTATCAGCAAGCTAAACAAAAATAGTAAACATAAGATTGCTGAAAAAAAAACATAATGTTTAATTTCTAAACAACTTAATTCCGCTTTATAAACATTCATAGAACTATCGGAAACTCTTAAAACATTCGATGTAACTAAAGATGAAGTTTGACCAAAATTAGAAAGAAAAAAAATCTTTATAGATGACCACATCAACAACTATATAATTATAGTACAAGAAAGAACTACAGTGTTGTGAAAAAGTTAAGAACCACTAAAGAAAAAAAAATTATTTTCAAATAAAATTAATTTTTCTTCTAAAGATAACAAAATAACCTTCTTTTTTTCACACACATTAAATAGAACATGAGAAAAAAGAAGATATATTTTTTTTTGAAAATTAATTAATAGAACCTATAAAAATAAGGAATAATAAATAAATATTATGTATTATTTTTTTTCAATATTTTTTTGTGAAAAAGTTAAGAACCACAAGGAATTTTTTGTGCTAAATGCGATGGAAACAACTTTTTTTAATTGATTTTTACCTTTTTTAATGGAATATTTTATTTATGACCTGAGTCATTACCAAAAAACCTAAAGTATTAAAAAAAAAGTATTTCAAACAAAAAAAATTCTTTTCTTTTGAAAAAAGGAGCAGAAAAGCTATTACCTATAAAGATCGTGTAAAAGTAGTGCATTTTCACCAGGAAGGTAAAACCACTTGTGAAATTGGATCACATAGTTTGGTGCTAACAATCATCAAAAGATTCAAAGAGACGAAACCTTACATTGATCGCCATTGTTCTGGAAGACCGCGTTTAATGACACCCAATGATGATCGCCTTTTAATCAGGTTGGCAAAGAAAAATTGAACTATGTTGTCGCATGAATTAAGAAAGGAATGGAAGCTTTCAAATGGATTTCAAGCATCGGCATCACTTGTGCATAGGAAACTAATAGCTAACAATAAGCTATGGAAAAAAGCTGTTCTAAAACTGAGACTTACCAAACAACATATAAAAAAGCAAAAATAATTTTGCCAATGTGTCAAAGAATGGTCTAAAGAAAAAGAAGGACAGTAATGTTCAGTGATAAGATGAATATTGAGGTTGATAACCGAAAAAAACCGAATTATGATTTGCAGGCAGCCTTCCGAAAAATATAATCTTGATTGTATCGTTCAAAGAACAAAACAAAGTAGCGGCTCGGTTGGATTATGGTGCTGCATGACATATTATGGTCTTGGTATGTTTAAATTGTTTGTAAAATTACTTGGTATGTTTAAACTACTTAACTCTATTTATTATGATATTTTAAATAACAACTTGTTACCAACAATTGATGCACCTGAGCAAAGCGTTCTGTTTTCCCCTGACACAGGGCTAAAATTGTGTCTGAATGGTTCAAAAGCTTGAGCGTCTAGCTTGGCCATATAGAAATGCAAAATAAAAAATCTACCAAAACAATTAAAACTGTTACAGAATATGTTCATTATTTGCAAATAACAAAACTATTTACCAAAAAATTAGGCTTTGAAAAACAATGCTCTTTTTTTTTAATGATTTAAAATACCCATAGCTATTAATAATATCTCTTGATAATCGAATTAATTAACAACATAGGATTGTTATTTAAAATAATCTTAATTTAGTATAATTCAAAATAATCTTAATACAACCATAAGTTAATATAGTATGGATACATCATATAGTTTTGAAGTATGACAATAAGTAGTTATTAAATTAACTTTACTTATTTAATAAGTTATTAGCATACTACAAAATTATATGATATATCCGTAATATGGTCGCTCTCCTTGTTTTAGCTACGCTATGAGAGATTATAGAATGTATGCATACTTTTTTTATTATAAATTTAAGGTGAAAACAAGTTTTATAAAACAAGTTTATGTAGTACATCTATATTTTTGGTAAATATATATTGCTTTCGTTGTTGTTATAAAAAAAATTTAGTTGTATTATTTAAATAAATAACTTAATGTATAGCAGTATAAAATTAACATAAAATTATATTTTATTGGCAATAACAAACAAAATCTAAAATCTTTTACAATAATAAAAACTCCATTTTTAATTTTATTAGATGATTTAAAGTTATGCCAAACTTGAATCAGAAAATATCAGACGTAACTTGCGTAAAGTTTGCTGACCACTTTTTAGGAAAATGTTATGAATACCGTTTTTATGACTTTTTTTGCATAAGTAATAACTTATGTAAAAACTTAAGAATTTCGTAAGTATTTGTTTATGCAATGTTTGTGAATATGATTGCATAACTTTGAACTTAAGCAAAACTTACGCAAACTTTACGCAAATTTTGGACTTATGAAAGTGTTGTGAATTCATACCCAGAGACCTGAAATATTTATGTCACTTTTTAACTTTTAAAACCTGAATCTGTTTTTTTATTATAATAAAGAGGCTTAACATGTCTAAATTTAATAAACACATCAATCACAAATCTACAAATCTACTTTATGTAGAGCTGAAGATATACTTAAAAAATATCTTCAGCTCTACATATTTTCAATGATATCTAGGTACTATTAACATATAATGAAAATAATTTCTACATTGGAATAAGGGTTAGCATTGCCAAATGTTATATATATATATATATATATATATATATATATATATATATATATATATATATATATATATATATATATATATATATATATATATATATATATATATATATATATATATATATATATATATATATATACATATACATATATATATATATATATATATATATATATATATATATATATATATATATATATATATATATTAGGAGAAATTATATAATTATATCTTGGTATAGAAAACTTAATAACAAAGTAGTGCAAATAGAGTAAAATTTAAGTTTAAAAAAATCAATTTTTTTAAACATAAATCAGATTTTAATCATACCTTTCCTATAAGCTTATAAACTTGATCTCCCACAATGTTATAAGCTTCTACAATACAATTAAGTGCAGCAGATCGAACACCATTGTCCCTATCAGCAATTTGAACAGCAATATCTTTAAGAACTTTTGGATTTGGTTGACAAACATCTATTCCAAATTTACTGATCAGAAATCCTAACTCTTCACAACATTCTAAGAAAAGAAAAATTATCAAGATAATCAAATAAGTAATAATAATAATAATAATAATAATAATAATAATAATAATAATAATAATAATAATAATAGATAAAAAAATATAGATATAAAAAATATTATATTAATCAAAATTTTGATAATTAAACTCCTGACCCATCCTTGACTTGGAGTTTTTTGACTCAAGACCTTGCATCAGATAAACAAACATCTGACTTGCAGGATATATGTTTGTCACCAGCCTACAAAGATCATGTACAGATTTTCGAACATTGTCTTTCGGATCACCAATCTATTAGGAAATTCAAAAATTACAAAATATATCATTAGATATTTATAAAAAAACTATAATAATAAAATTTTATTAAAAACATTTTGATTTAAATTTTTTGAAAACAATCAATAACAAGGAAAAAAAATAAATAAATAAAGACAACAAAGGTTAATATTTGAACAATTAATTCAATTAAAAGTTTGAACATTGTTTAAAATTATAAATTGAAATAAAATAAATCTATAAATTTTTTAACTAAAATTGTTAAAATAAAACTTACTTTTCCAACTAAATATGGAATAAATAAAACACACAAAGACTAACATAAGACTCACTTTTCCAACTAAATATGGAATAAAAGCAGATGCCTCAAAATTGTTTAACTTTTGCTTGTTGCTATCCAAGAAGTTAAATAACACAGTTAAAAATTCTAATGCTTTTAGCAAAACAGAAGTGTTAGTATCAAAAAATCGCAAAGAAACCCATTTTAGAATTAAATCCAAGGATTCCACCATTGCTTCAGAATACTCAGTAACACACTAAATTACATAGTAATACAAACTTTGAATAACAATTGTAATTTAATAATATTGAAATTTAATAGTATTGAAAAATTGTATAAAATTTGTATAAAAATTCTTGATTTCTGCAAAAAATAAAATTCACACAAAAACAAAAGTTAGTTTTCTATGATTATATAAAAAGATATGGTTGCATAAAAATTTGTAAATGTACTAAACATATTCAACATATATTCAACATGAAGTGAACTTATAAATTGAACAAAACATATATATGAAGTGAACATACTGAAGTGAACTTACTGAAGTGAGTATAGAAAGTGCTTCAAGATGAAATTTGAAATCTTTATGAAAAAGTTTTGCATGCATAGATGCACTGAAGCAAGGTAGCATTTGTTCTTTTAATTGATCAAGAAACTCATCACGTGGTACAGTAAAATTCCATTTTAAAACCTAAACAAAAATATTGAGCTTTCAAAAAATTAAAACAAATTAGAAAACATTTAATAGTATTTAATAACATCATTACTTTAAGGGCTTTTTCATCTTTGATACGTTGAGCTTTGCCGACTTTTAATATTATTGGTGGTCCATCATCTTCAACAAAGTCCTTCTTCCGTCCACTAACACCACCACTAGCTTTTGGAGGTGCACTCTTAAAAACAATATTTATACATATATATATACATACATACATATTTACATACATATATGTATGTGTGTTGTGTGTGTGTGTATATATATATATATATATTATATATATATATATATATATATATATATATATATATATATTCATATATATACAAAGAAAATACAACTTCTTATGGTGCTAATAGTTTCATGCCTAAAGCAATAATCAGCCATGAAATACAAATCAAGAAACAAAAAACCTGAAAGTTACGATGTAAAGTTACGATGGATTACGATTTTAAATGTTTTTAATTTATATGGTTTATTTATATTATTGATTACTTAACCTGTGAATAAATTTAGTATATAATTTTGCCATATATTTTATAATTTATATATATATATATATATATATATATATATATATATATTTCAATGTTATACAACACAGAAAAATGAAAAACCTTTTTTGGATCTGCTTTGACAGGTTTTTCCTCTTTAGTTTTTTTTGGAACTTCTTTAGATGATTTTACAGATGCTAAATCTAGATCTGATTTATCAGAAGAAACTTTAGAAGGGGCAGCAGATGACTTAATTGGCTGTGGTGCGCTTGCAGTTTGTTTATTTCCAGAATCAAGAACCTTTTTACCAGGAGCAGCTATTGGAACACAAGTTTCCCGAGCTTTATCAATAATTGCTTGAACTACAGTTTTTGATGCAGCCTTAAATTCAAATTTAAAGTTAATAATTAAATGTTTCCCTAATGCAAATAAAAATAAATCAACCAGCAAGATTAAAATACATCAAGCTTAGCTGTGGCTTTGCACATTGCATCAAATCCAACATGAGCCATGAAAAGGGGAACAACAGCTTGAGCTGCTTTTCGAACATCTGGATTTCTATCCTCAAGACAGACATACAAAGGAAATATGCTATCTTTAAATTCTGCAGGTAACTTTTTTTCATTAGGTAACTTTTTTTCAAGCCAACTAAGAAGCTAAAATATTAATTTAAATATATGCTAAATTAAACTATTATCAATAATTATTTTAAATAAAGTTTTTAATACTTCTAAAAATATTTTCAGCTATTTTATAAAAAAATTTATAAAAAAATTATAAACATTTTAAAAACAAGAGTAAAGTTAATCTAATGAATGTTTACTGTTGCTCTCAAGTTTGGATTTTGCACTTGAAGTGCTGTGGAAAGTATTTCACCATCTAAAAATGGTAAAAATCCAATTTTACTGTGCCATGCATCAAGGGCTTCTTCTGCAAGATTACGTAAAGCTGGCTAAAAATAATGTTGTAAACAATGTTATAAATACATCGAAGAATCTTTTTTTTAAGGATTAAGATTTCATGGAGCAAATAATCATTATTTGCATCGCCTATAAAATTGTATTCATAATAATTATTTTGGATAACATAGACACTTAGTGAAAAGAATTTTTATAATGATCGTTTTATTGTTTAACATTGATAAGTTAAGAAAAACAGTATATAGCTCAAGTGCTAGAGATCAAATACATCTTCGACAAAATATCTTCCTTGCAAGGAAGATATTAAAAAATCAAACTATGGGAAAAATATTTATTTTGTAAAATTTTGCATACAAGGCAATAAGGATTTTTTTAAGAAAAGGTAATAAAATTACACCTTTTTTAAAAAAAGAATTAAAAAAAATTATCCTCAACAATCAAATTCATAATTACAGAAAACTTTTAAAATAAAAAAAAAGTGAAATTTTTTTATTTTAACCTTGGCATCAGTAAATGTTCCTATAAGTGCTGGTAGGATTATTGCTTTGTGCCTAATCATTCCACTACCTCCAGATTCAGCAAGTTGTTTACAGATACTAATAGTTAGTTGAACTAGTACTTTGTTGTTATCAGCAAGGCGTGCTTTAATTGAAGTCGGAAGTTCATTAATGTCAGGAGTAATAAATTTTGCTTCATTTATAAATCCTTGAACCTTAAAGAAAAACATCAAAACAGTAATAATATATTCTGCTAACTTTGATTTTTAAAATGCAGAGTTTAATTTCCAAATGTTTTTAGACAGAAGAAAAGTTTAAAAAACTTTTCCTTTGGTGTAATGTCTTTTATTCTTAGATACTGTCTGTCCAAACTCTCAATTGATGGATGTACTATGTGCTGAAGCTGTGGCAGATGCAAACACATATATTTGTTTGTTTTCACAACTATAAAAATAATACCTCTTCTAATCCTTCTTTTCGAATTTTCCAATTTTTATCACTAATCTTTGCCAACACTTCGTCAGTTATTTTACCACTAAAGATTAAAGTATAAATATTTTTATTTAAAAAATGTTCAATTTTAAACATAAAGATATAAAAAAACATACATACATGCATAAATACATGTATGTATGTATGTATGTATGTATGTATGTATGTATGTATGTATGTATGTATGTATGTATGTATGTATGTATGTATGTATGTATGTATGTATGTATGTATGTATGTATGTATGTATGTATGTATGTGTATATGTATGTATTTAAACTTAATCTGACAAAACATATTCTGACAAAACTTATTCTGACTTACTTTGAACTTATAAATCTTAAACTTTATTCAGAACAACTTTATAGCAGACTAAATAACAATTTTTAACCTTATATTTACTCGCTCAACCATATCTTCTAAATTTACAACTACAGCACCAGGTTCTTCATTTTCTTGTTGGTTATCTTCACCAACCTCTTTATCTTCCTCTTCATCATCAATAAATTTGCGTATAGGTATTGGAGGTTTTAGATCCTTATTTTTGGAAAACTCTTCATCAATTTGCTGCAGCAATGCTGCTTTCTCATCTTCAAAAAATACTCGTATATTAGCCCCAACATAAAGATGCAGAGTTGCTAGAAATTCAATGGCGGCTTTTCGAACTGCCTAAACAAAAAAATTAAATGAAATCCCTGTGCCAACCCAAAGAGAAATCTAGTGCTAAAATGTGTAAGAAGTCAAAATTTTTAAAGAAATAGTTTTAATATTTTGCTCACATTACTTACAACATTAAAAATACTATTAAAATATATAATACATACTGGATTAGTGTTAGCCAATGATGTTTTGATGAATGCAATATGGGGTTTTAAATCAATTCTAAATGTAAGTGTTAGTATGTATACATTCAAATATATACTTATATATTCAATATATATATATATATATATATATATATATATATATATATATATATATATATATATATATATATATATATATATATATATATATATATATATATATATATACACACACACACACACATATATATATATATATATATATATATATATATATATATATATATATATTTGATAAAATATTAAGTTAAAGATAACTTGTCTTAACAGTAAAATTTCTTCTTTAACAGTAAAATGTCTTCTTTCAACTAACAAAGCACTGATATAAAATATTACCATTTTTAAGTCACTTGCCTTAATGTAGATTGTGATTTTGATCATAATTAATGGACATTTTGACATGACCAAAAACTTGTTTATGTTTGTTTTTTTATTTGAATAAATTAAGCTTTAAAATTAATATTGTTTTATTCTTTTATTAATTTCAAAGACATATAACTAAATACAAAATACAATGTCTAATCTTAAGCTAGTTTTCATAATATTTCATGCAATATCTAATCTTAAGCAAGTTATTATACTTATTACATAGTACAAAATGGCTGAAATTTAAGTTTTATAGCTACTATAAGTAAAACTCTGAGAGTAACAAAAAAAAAAAGCAAAACTAAAAAGTGTTCATAATTTTATTACAAAAATTAAACTGTTTAGTCAAGTAAAGTAAGAAGAATAATAGAAAAAAAGTAATTTAAATATCAAAAAGTTTTGCTTTTTGATATTGGCTGTAAATTTTTTAGCTATTTTAGTGTTAACAACTATGTTTTCAAAACTTTAACAACAGGCCCTCAAACATACTTAAATATAAAAAATTATTTGAATTGATACTTCTGTTGTTTTGCCAACTTTATAAATATTACAACAGTTATTTATATTTGAATTTTTTTCATTTTTTAGGCATGGACATTTAAAATATTATAAAACAATTTGTTGAGAATTAAAATAAACGAATTTGTTGTTAATATGAAAACAGTGTGGCAAAAATATTATACATTAAAAAGGCTACTGTGTTATTTTAAATGTAAAAATGTTTCAAAACTATTTCCTTTGATACAATAATTTAAATTCATATATTTGAAAAATTAAATCATGATTCTTTTAACTTAAATTTAACCTTTAAGATTTTAATAAGTAAATAACTTTGATATCAGAAAATAAATCTAGAAACAACCATAGAAGTGATTAATTAATTTGCCGAAAGGTAGAAACCTGCTAGAGAACACCTACTTATGTGTATATAATTCTAAATAGACTGTAATAGTAATTATATATCATAAAATGCATTAACTATATATATATATATATATATATACCTAAAACCAAACTCTCTAACAGCTTCACTCATCCAAACTAATGCCTCTGATTGCAGTTTAGGATTTTTAGCTTCCTCAGCAGCTGCAGCTATCTAATCAAATAGTTAAAACAGACTAATAAGAGTTGTTTAATTCTTTTAAATGACAAAATAAAAAACAAAAATTTTATCTCTGTTAGGTGTATAGAGGGTATTGACTTTTGTAAATGAGAGATACAAATTTTAAACCCCAATATATCCCTGGTAGTACTCAGCTTTTTTCTTAGCACAGTGATCTTGTTTGTAAAGATTTTTGCTTTTCAGTAATAAGGTCAAGTTAAGGTTGTAAAAAAATTCCATCCTTTATTGCAGCAACTTACTTTAGGGAGATAAAAATACAAAAAATTAAAAATAAAGTTATATAAAAATTACCTTTAAACTAATGTAGTTTAGTGATATATTTTCAGAAAAAATTTTTAACGTTTCGCTTACTTGGGTCTTCAGCTAAAAAAAGTTTGAAAAGTAAATCTTTCACTCTCATTGCATTTAAGTTTAGATTTAATATTTCTACAAGTTTGAATACATAAGTTAAGTTTTTGTCTTGTGTCTTGTGACTAAATCATAGTAACCATCGCAACGTTCAATAACCTGTTTCACGGGTGTATTTTTTTTTCAATAAAAAAATTTCTTATTACATACAATGTAATTCTAAATAAGCGATGCAAAGCTTTATCAAAAATTAAAAATAAGTTTAATTGTAAAAATAAAAACTCTTTATGCACAAAAATTTCATCAATTAAATCAGATGTTAAGTGATTGTTTTTAAAATTTCATTTAGGTTGGACAAGTTATTTTTAAAAATTGACATTTTCTGAAAAAGGATTCTTAGGACTACTCGAAACTCTGTCTTAATTGTGCAAGGTTGGATTTAAATAGAAACTGATAAATGAATAAGAAGCTGAGATTCAGATAAATCTATATTTAAATAGAGATTCTTAAATAGATTTATTTAAATAGATATTTTATAGTAAAACTATTACAAAATATTATTATACAACTCCATTTTGATAACCTTTTTATACTTTTGAAATTTAGTTTAATTAATGTTATAAAATTAACACTTATTCAATATGAATATATATTTTTAAATGGCTAATCTGATTTTCCGATTGTCAAATTTTATATTTTAAACATACTGATATTAAATTGCTGGTCATAATAACAAAGTGTAAACTAAAGTCATTTGTAGTCTCATTCTGTGGTTGGCTACTTGAACAATCTTTGATAGTTATATTTTCTTTGATTGGCTACTTATATATTCTGTGATTGATATATCTTTTAAATTATGTATACTATTGCTACAGCAAAATATCAAAAATATATAAAAATTTATGTAAATTTTTATATATTTTTAATATTTTGCTGCATTATATATATAAATAATTCTACATAAATGGTTTACAATAAGTACTGTCATTTAGTAAATAGGTTTATGTTTGCTAGCATACATTCAAATGATTACTAAAATATATACAAATGATTGCCAAAAAAATTTTGAGTAACATTTAGAAATTATTCATTGAAAATTGACAAAATAATTGTTAAAAAGTTTTTGCTCCTCTTTGTTCTGTGGTATTTATTATAAGCCTGGAATCACTGAGTCCCATAAATTACCAGGACTCTTGGGACTTAAAAAATAGAAAGGTCAGAATTACTTATGTATATATATATGAAGGCATGTATGTAAGTATATAAGTAGGTAAACATGCATGAATGTGTGTATATAGGTATGCATGTATGTATGTATGTATGTATGTATATATATATATATATATATATATATATATATATATATATATATATATATATATATATATATATATATATATATATATATATATATATATATGTATATATATGTATATATATTAAATGTAAAACTAGAAAGTTTTATTTAAATGCTTCTGATAGATATAATACATTATGATAATAACTTATATTCAAATAAAATCAAATACAATACCTTTGCATCACCTATTTTTGAAATTAGACCTGCAACTGCATACCAAGCACTTCTTCGTGTAAAATCTGATTTTTTCGCTACTATTGCTAGCAACTTGAATTTAACATTCATCACCTAAAAAATATATTAAAAAATATATGACTCTATTAGCATCTGTAAAAACATTAGAAACATCAATTGAACTCCATCCGCATATAAGTTTAAGCTTTTTCTTTTGTTTTAATATTCTGTTTCTTAAATAAAGAATTAAAAGTTAATAAAAGTGTATAAACATTTTTATTTTTGCAAACAGCAACAAATAAGACAAGACAATACTTATGTATATATATATATATATATATATATATATATATATATATATATATATATATATATATATATATATATATATATATATAAGGCTTGATATATATATATATATATCAAGCCTTCCCAGGATAGGCGTGCGGGTTTTTTTCTCGTGGGTACCACGAAAACGTTTTTCAAGTTAGAGAACGTGATCACGGCCGTTTGCGCAAGTTATATTATATGCATTACTGAAAAATTGTTTTAAATTTAATAACTGCATAAGAAATTAAAGTAAACTTAAATAGAAAACAATAATAATAGTTTCAATAATATGTGTGTTGTTTTTATTTTTGTTTTTACTTAGTAGTTATTATTATCGGCAACAAAATTCATTAAGTCAAAGCAAAAAAAAAAAAGGTTTTAGGCATTAAAAAGGATGACTTTCCCATATTTTATGTTTTTTTCTTTTAAGGAGGAAAGAGAAAATATGTATCATCATCTGTTTATAAAATATATTTGTATAACTATAATGTAACAAGTTTATATCAAGAGTTAAATTATAATCGCGTTAGCAAACTCTGGTAAAATAATACTATGGTAAAGGTCTTTAAAATAATAGGTCTTTAAAATTTTAATTCATGTAAAGCTGTGTACTTTGTTTATAAGGAGCAAATTATTAAAAGTTTGCTAGCGAGAAAGTTACAAAAAACAAAACAAAAACAATAAACTTACGACTACAAAAGTAATAACACTTTAGTCACTAACTGCATTATAAAAGTAATAAAACTATAATAGTGTTATTACATTTATAAAGCTTATTACTTTTAAATTTCATTCTTTGTTCAAACAACATTATTAATTCGAAACATTTATTAAAGTAAAAAAGCATCTAGAAAAAATAAAGCAGATATTCAAATATTATTAAAAATTTCAGGTTAATACTTTTAATACAATGCCTTTTAATACAATGCATTTTCATAAAGTTGTTTGTCACATTTTTATAAGTTACTTTAGTTTTAATATTATTTGAACATCCACTTTATTCTTCTAGATATTTTTCTACTTCAATTAAAATTTGGGAATACTAATGTTGCCTGAACAAAGAATGAATTTTTAAAGTTATAAGTGTGTTATAAAAGTAATAACACTATTATAGTGTTATTACTTTTGTAATGCAGTTAGTGACTAGAGAATCATTTCTTTTGTAACCAAAATTTTTTTGCTAACAAATTTAAGTTGATTCTCCCCTTAAAAACAAAGAACACAGTTTTGTATAAACTAAAATTTTAAATACTAGATATTTTTCCAGATTTTGCGTTTTGCATTCGCTTAATTCAACCCTTGTTGTTACATTAAAATTATACGAATAAATTTTACAAACACACTGCAATTTGTATTTTTGCTATCCTCTTAAAAAAAATTAAGAAAGGAAAATCATTCTTTTTATTGTAGACTTTAAACTGCTTTTTTTTTGCTTCGCCTTTTGTTGCTTTTGAATGGTACTCTAAAGAAAACAAAAATAAAAACAGTACACAAATTATTTAAATTATTAATTTGTTTTTATTTTTTTCTATTTCAATCTCTTTTTATTTTGTTAGTTTTGTTTTTTTATTTTTGAAACTTTTTCAGCATTATTATAAAGCATTATTGCAACGGCCGTGTTCATGTTTTCTAAAATATTATAATCGCATGTGGTCATAGGAGACGAAAAACTGCACGCCTTTCCTGGGAAGTCTTGATATATATATATATATATATATATATATATATATATATATATATATATATATATATATATATATATATATATATATATATATATATATATATATATATATATATATATATATATATATATATATATATATATACGCACAAGTTATTGCTTCTAAAAAATTTTAGGCAAAATAAACAAAAATTGAGCCAAATTTTTTTAACTATTGAAGAACCTCCACAAACAAGCAACAAAAATTTAGAAGAAACATTTCCCATTTGTCATTGTGTCTTTTATACAAAGCAAATATGAAAAAAAGAAAGAAACTGGTGACATACAGTATTTGTGTCTGATTCTTGCAGAAGACGCCTTGCATGTTCTGCAATTCACATCTTTACATTTAAGCTAATAATTTGAATTATGTAACAATTATTTTTTGTATTTGAATTGATGATACATCTTTTTTTTTATTTACAAATTTACTTGGAGCATGTTTTTAGAGGTTGCAAGGTATAGAGACTTCTACCTTTACATGTAATGAAATGAGACCAGGGCTCAAATTAGGCGTATTGCTTTTCACACCTTTCAAGTTTTTTCTTAAAAAAATATTTTCGTGAATTTCTTTGGTCATTCTCTAAAGTAATGTTTTTGTCTAAGATTTTTCTTAGGGTTCATAAAGTAGGCTACACTTACTTACACACTTACAAGTACTTATCTTTTGAATAGTAGTATGATCATTTGCTCTCTAGCACAGAGGTTTTTACTCTACATAAAGTGCTTTTGAATTTAAATTACTTTAAATCTCTGTGTATAACCCAATAATATTTTAAAGTTATATTTAGTTTGATTTACAGAATGGATAAAGCACATCACAGCAAAATTACCTATAAACTAAATCAAAAATACCTGTTAAGTTACTGTAGTAACTTAACTGGTATTTTTGGTAGAAAAGTTAAACTTAACTGGTAGAGTTACTCAAATATAACTTATCAATTATATTAATTTACTCAATATACACCAAGACTCACAAAAGTTAGCAATACAAATGTTTCTTTTGATATCTTATATGTTGTTAACACATAGTATAAGCTTTTAACTAAAAACTATTTTAATAAGAAATCTCAAATAGAATATGAAAAAATGCGATACCATTTTTTTATCTTTTTATTTTATTTAAAGCAATATCAAGATTAAAAATTTTCTATAAATACTTTTCTATAAAGTTATTTTTAGGAATTTTTTTTAAATCTATTTAAACAAAAAAAAAGTCTTCTAAGTTTCTCTCAATTAAATAACTTTGTAATAGAAATTTAAAATTTTACCTCTGTTTAAAAAAACTTATTCCCAAAAATATAATTTAAGCATATATTTGAACCTAATGAAATGTAATTCCATTTATTAAACCAAATTTTTCTCTCATTTTTTATTACAAAACAATTTGAACAAATAAATTGAATGAAAACATTAACTTAAAAACCCTTTAAAAAATCATTTATACTTAAATTTTTAATAAAATATTAATTATTCTTAAATTTTTAATAGCAATAGATCAAGAAGCAATAAATATAAAAAACATGGTATTTAATGTTTTTTTGCTTTGATCTTACTTGTTTGGTCTATAGATTAAGCACGTTTTTGTTTGGTCTATAGATTAAGCACGTTTTTGCGCAAATATAAAGTTTAAAGTTTCATGACTAATGTTTATTTATTAATTCAATAATTTTATCTATTTAATTTATTTTATGTTATTAGTGCTAAAAAAACTTAAGTGTATTAAACAGCAATACGAACAGTGCGGTGCAGTGTCATGAGGTTGTTTTACATTAACACAAGCTCTTCATATTGTCAAAACAACTCTAGGTTAAAAAAAAATTTTTTGTGATTAGATTTTTTTGCATTAATTCGGCCCCAGAGAGGTTTTACATCAGAAGTTTCATTATTCTAGGTAAGTTGCCTTCACCACAGCTAAAGAGCCTCACTGCCCCTTATATGAATGTAAAATTCTATTGAAAAAAAAAAGAATATAAGCATTCAAAATTTCTACAAAAAAAATCTGCCATAAAAACAGATCATTTTTATTTATTTTTTTAAAAAAATCATAAAAATATAAAAACAACTTTTACCTGAAAATTACTATCTTTCCACCCTGGGTTTTTAGCAAGCGTTCGAACAACTACTTGACTTGGAAAAGATTTATCGTCCATCCCTTCAATTTTCTAAAGAAAAAGTCAAAATCTTTGTTAAAAAGGTGAAAAATAAAAAAATAAAAATATATTTTAAGTAATGAATATAATTCAGAACATTAAAGATAAAAGATAATTCTAATTAACAATGAAAAAAAATCTGATAACATAAAAAAACTTTATTTGCATAAAAAGCAAAAATTTTGTAAAAATCTATATCATAAACACAATAGGTAGATAAAAATTCACCATTCCTTTCAGGAATGGTAAAATTTAATCAACTCATTGTGTTTATGAAAAAAGCATTGATGTTTATGGAAAAAGCTTTGCTGCTTTATTTTAAACTTTGTAGTTTTAGCAGTTTTGACTAACAACATTTGAATAATAACTTTTTAGTTTTAACAGTTTTTAATAATAATTTTGAATAATAACTTTGCAGTTTTAGCAGTTTTGAATAATAACTTTCATTTTTTAGTCTATTTTTTCTATATGGTAATAAAAATGTTAATATGAAAATATAAATCAATAATGCATTGTGAACTTTATAAAACTTATCAATAAAATATATTTAAAAAAGTACAGTTGCCAGAAGACTATAAAACTATAAATAAGACTATAAAACTATAAATTAAAAGAAGGGAAAACATAAAGACAGGAGAAATTATAACTGTTTTCAGAAATGAAAATGCTTTTAGATTTGTGTTTGTCTAACTGTTATTTTTACATGAAAGCAACATACACAAATTAGAAGATGCTGGTCCTATAGTTTATCATTAATGGTAGTAATAGTAAAGAGTTTTCTGAAGCAGAATGTTTTATCGAGTAAATAACACACAAATATCAAATATACAATTGAAATGCAGTAATTGAAATGCGGTAGTGGTGTAGTGGTAGAGCGCTCGCTTCAAAAGCGAGAGGTTCCAAGTTCGATCCCCACCACGTCCCTGGTAGTACCGCGCTCAACTTGTTTTTCCGCGCAGAAACCTTGTTCATCAAGATTCGTGTAAAAATTTTGGAGATCGCTCTGACAACTGTAACTATTGTCTTCTTACTATTATTAGAAAAGTTGTTAAGTTTTAATTAATAAACTCCCAATATCGTATCTTGAGGCCAACAACTTACTGACAATCAATACAAATTTCAAGCCTCTTGCTGAAGCTAACTTGTTAACCATAATAACAAAAAGGTTCTAAAGCCTTAAGGCTAAAATTAGATACAGTTTTAAGTCAACAAAACAATGGAAATGCTATTAGTCAAAATGAAAATAATTGCTGAAATAAGAGAGAGATAAAATTAATCATCACAAAAATGTAAAAAAATGCTGCTTGGCAAGCAGAAAATAATTTGAACCCAAATGAGGATAGGGTAGTTAAGGCAAGTTAAAATAATTATGACAAAAATGAGAGAGAAAGAGGCATAAAAGAGAAAGAGGTTTAAAAGAGAAAAGCTTGAAAGAGAGGCTTAGGCATAATAAAATGAATCATTATTCTAAATCAAAATATTATTATTATATATATTGTCTCTTTAAAATAACTATATTGATAGGTCTAATAAGACCTGAAACACCTGTAAAAACCACTGTTTAAACAGAGGTTTTGACAGGTATTTCTTGTGGTATTTGTTTCTTGAATTCAATTTAATAATGATACAACAATCTATATTCCAATTTCCTTTTGAGTAATCAAAAACCCATACCTTTTTGTTCACTCAGAAAAGGTGTGATCAAACTTAAAATTTGCAGAGGTTGTTGAATTTTGATCATGACAAAACTAAGCTGTTTAATACTGGTTAGGCAGTATGGCAAAAATGGTAATATTCTTTTCTTGATAAATAGTAATACGTTTACTGTGTTCTAAGTTAGGTCTTCTTGGATTATCTTATACTATTGCCCTCATGGATTTAATATTGAATCCACTGCAAAATGTGTATATATATATATATATATATATATATATATATATATATATATATATATATATATATATATATATATATATATATATATATATATATATATATATATATATATATATATTTATTATATGTTATAAATATATATATATATATATATATATATATATATATATATATATATATATATATATATATATATTTATAACATATAATAAATATATATATACATTTATTATATGTTATAAGTATATATATATATATATATATATGTATATATATATATATATATATATATATACATATATATATATATATATATATATATATATATATATATATATATATTATATATATATATATTTATAACATATAATAAATATATATATATATATTATATATATATATATATATTATATATTTATTAATTTTTTCAACAGTTCCAGTAAAACCGGTTCCAACCGGAATTCAAAATTTCCAATCCGGTATACCCCTACTTATGATTCAATTTTTAACTTTAAGGGGTGAATAAAGTGATTGCAAATCAAGAATTGCAATGGGCCAAAGCTATTTATTTTGTTATAAATAAATTTTGGCATATAACTAAAAATATTTGTATTACCCAGAATACTTAAATATATCTTAGATATATCTGTTTTATAAAAATAAATTTCTTATAAAAAAATTTTTTTATAATAAGAGTCTTATAAAAAAATTTTTATAAGATAAAAAATTTTTTATAAGACTCTGACATTATTTTACAATAATAAAAAAATAAAAATTTTTACGCTTAACAAACACTTAAAATGAAATTGTAAATTTTTTACTAACACTTAAAATGAACAAAGATATACAACAAATATATCACCAAACAAAAAGTTGACTACAAAATAAAAAGTACGCATATAACAATGTAAGGCCTCAGAATGGCAAAAAAACATTAATGCTAATGTGTAAACATAACTAGTGATTAAGTGATAAACTCAGAGTGGTGTCTATTATTACTAGTGTTTCGATGAGAATCAGCACTAATAACTAGTTTATCCCAATTTTATCGCACCACTAATAACTAGTTTATCGCAATTTTATTTAATTTGTTATTTTTTCTGCAAATAAACAACAAATTTTGGTAGGTTTTTCTAATAATATTTTAGATGAGGTCCAAAAAATGCATTATAAATGTAGATGAATCTGATACCCCTGTCCCAACATCATAAGGTTGCATTTCTTTTTTGAAAAATTTTACCATAATTGCTGCTCAAGCAAGATATAATCTCTTATTTCAGCAATCAAAACACAATCATTCAGTTCAAATATTTTTTACTTATCTAGTTTTTTTCCTCAAACATTATTGCTGATGAATTATAACATTTTAAAGTGAAAATCGGAAAAATTAAAGCTCAGATAACTCCATTATTTTACTGGTAGGCTATTAAACTACTTTTACCAATTTACATGTAAAATGTTGGTCAAGGCTCAACTTACTATAAATGAAGAGAAACTTGGTTCAAAAAAAATAAATATATGAATACAAAGTATCAAATACGAACAGATTAGACTAAAATAAAAAGAATGTAATGCTAATGTTAAGACTTAAAAAGATAACTAAAAAGAAAACCACCTTTGTCATTTCTTCCACTGCAGCAAGACGTTCTTTCCAATTATTACTTGCCATTTGTTTAATGCATTCTTCACCAAAAAGCCCTTCAGCTTGTGATTCAACAACACCTTCCTGTTATTGATTAAAAAATTAAAAAGAAATTCTATATGAAATTGTTCTGGATAAAAATGTAACTAATCAATTCTATTTTTTAAGCAATTATATATTATATTTATATATATAAACTAATTAATTATATATTCAACAAAACAGATGGAGCTTTTTTACAAACTTGTTAAATATATTTACATTTATGAATATTTAAATTATATTGAAAAAACATACAGGCAATTCTGGTTCGGTTAGTTCTTTAAGATCTTCCTCAAAATCATTTACTTTTTTCTTTTTCTTTTTCTGATCAACAACTTTTTTTCCACCTGGCTTGGTTGCTGCTCCACCAGACTATTCCATAATTTAGTAATACTTGATTCAGGTTAAATTTATTTAACAATAAAAATATATCAATAGAATCAAAGAAAAAAAATCAATATTACATAATAGACAGTAATATGAACTAACCTTTGGTTTTACAACTTTATTAGGTGGAGCATTGCTTACCTATAACATATTTAAAAAAAAGTGAAACTTTTAAAAAGTAACATCTATTATTTTATTTTATTTATTTTTATTATTAAAAATTTATATAAAATAGAACCATAATTTCTTACTAGTCATCTACAATGTAAAAAAGGAAAAAATATATACTGGTTTCTTTTCTTCTTCTTTTGGCTGTACACTTTTAGGCACAGGTTTAGAAGGACCTGCCTTAGAAGATGCAGATGCAGCTGGTGCAGCAGCAGCAGTTGTTGTTGTGTTTTCACCTCCAGCATTACCAGAAGCTCCACCTCCAGCACTGGGTGTTAAAACTGCTTTTTCAAAATATTCTTTTACCTGTAATGAAAAAATGCAAGTGCTGCTTAAATACAATAAATGTGATCCCTCATAGCATGTTCATTGCGGTTATGTGGCCAGAATTCATGCAAAATAATAATATATTTTAATATATATAGTAATAATTTAATATGCAATTGCAAAAAAAAATTTCTTTATGCCAACTTATTAAAAAATGCTTAAGATAAAAAAATTATATTTGCAAAATAAAAAATGTCTACAAAAAGAGCGATGCCATTATATTAGGCATGTTTAATCATAAATTATCTAGCATGTTTTTGTCAATATTCCATAATGAACTCTATAGACAAACAAATAAAAAAAGCTACTTTTTCCTGCTTTAATTTATCAATAGAATCTAGATAGGCTGCCATTGCACGTTCTCCAACTAATTTCATAACTGTCCCAAGTGATTCAGCTGCTGTATCACGAACAGAACCAACTGTATCATCTAATCTCTAAAATTAATACAATAAAATTATATTCAACATCATTTTTTAGGGTTATCAAAGTTCAGTCAACATTTAAAAAGAATTATATATACATAATGTATAACTTCTTATGTTTTCTATTATATATTATACATAATAATAATAATAATAACAATAATTAAAAAAAAAAATATATATATATATATATATACACATATATATTTATATATTTACATACATATACATGTATATATATATGTGTGTATATATATATATATATATATATATATATATATATATATATATATATATATATATATATATATATATATATATATATATATATGTACAAATATATATATAGGTCTTGGCGAGAGTAAATGAGTGCGAGAGCAGAGAATATATATATATATATATATATATATATATATATATATATATATATATATATGTATGTTTATATGTATATATATATAAATACATATATATATATATATATATATATATATATATATATATATATGTATCTGAATTTTACAGAACCCAATTATCCAATCGAAATATGTTATGTTTTCCCAGTTTATTTTATTTTAGGCTAGTGAAGTTGTAGTTTTTTTTCTATTCTATATTCAGAATTTTTTTTTAAATAGACTTGAAGTTTTATTGAGTTTTTTTCTCTTGAAAACCTTGTTAGTTTACATTAAATTGCATTACCCGTTTATAAAAGTTATGTAAATTTTTTTACTTAACAAAATATAATATGCTAAGTGTCAATTTTGCGCATAAGTTCTACTTTTAGCGATAAAAAGGTATTTTTATGGCATTCATGTAACTATTTTTATCAATAATAAAAACAGCAAAAAACAAGTTTGTTATAGTAATATAGTATAATAATGTTTTAAATATATAAAATATTAAGATAAACATATTATTTTTAAACTTTATATAAAAAATTTAAACTTCGCTTTTACTTATTTAAAGGCGGTTAAATCAAACGCAATATGATATTGACGGGCTATTATTTAATTTAAAAATTCCATGCTGCATGTCATTAAAATTCCATCGATTAAACGAAGAAAATTTTATGAGTTCTACAGGTTATTATTTATTTACTTTTCAAAAAGGCACTCTTTCTTTAGCAGACAATTTTTATAAAGCTAGAACTTTTTAATTTATATATATATATATATTAGAAATAAAAAAAAAAAAAAAAATACAAATAAAGATAATAACGAATAAAGAATCGGAAAACTCGAGTAGGACCAGGATACCATCGAGAAACCGCTCAAGCTAGAATGATTTGGATGATCATAACGTTAATGTTTAAATGTTTTTTTTAATAATATTTTTATAATATTTTTTTTATAATATTTTTTTTCTAATGTTTTTTTTTTTAATATTGCATCAATGAGATCAGCCTCTAAAAAAACACATTTGTAAAATCTTTTATTATCAAATTTTTAAAACTGCTAGTATTTCTTTGCTTTTCGGTGTCCACGGCGTTTGCAATTCTCAATCAAACATACTTTGACTTAAAAAAACATACTTTGACGTAAAACAAAATATTTTTTTAATGAGAGTTTATTGACTCTATATAAAAAAATAATTAGCTACACCAACTTTCCCCATTTTGATATAATTAAACTTTTTTTTAAGCTTCTTTTCATTATTGTAATCTCATCTTTTGACTTCTTGAAAAAACTTTTACATAATTGAAATATCAGTAGAATTCAATAACGTGATATTTCTTAGATTAGGCGCTTTTTCAAAGTTAATTTCCTCATTCGCATTTTATAATATCCATTTTGCAATTGTTTTAAATAAGCAATAATTTTAAATTTAATAATATAATAGTAAAACTGTTAAAGAACAGTCATTAAAACTACAATTAATAATAGCGCTTTTTTTGGGAATGAATGCCTCCATTATCAACAGATTTTTTACGTTTGTCTAATAGTTTACATTTTGTCAATTTCAAATCAACGAATAAAATTTTATTTTAAAGTATTGAAAATCCCGCCAGACAAAATGTCCGATGACTTTATAAATTGATTGGACAACCTGAGGTTTTAGCTGGTCATTGTCCGATGTCCGACTGTTAAATTAAGCCAGAGGGCTTATATATATATATATATATAAATATATATATATATATATATATATATATATATATATATATATAAATATATATATATATATATATATATATATATATATATATATCAGGGCTCGAATTAACGCATAAAAATCTAATCGCGAAAAAAAATTTTACAACCCCCCCCCTATACCTTCCACCGCTTTGCAGTAATTGGGGGGGGGGGAGGTAAGTTGTGTTAGTATATAATTGTAAGTTTTGTACGTAATTCGTAATTGTTCTATTTTTAACATATTATCTCTCATATTTAAATATAATCTTATAATTTTCTTGTTTGGCAGAGTTTAAAATAGCGTAAGTTACTGTTATTATT